AAAATCATTTTTTATTAATTCCAGAAAAACCTGAAAAATAAAAAGAGAGAAGATGGACAACCGGTTTATAATTTAAATTGTTTGAGATATTGAGGATATACATATAAAATTATAAACATTAAAAATTATATGTGGTCATTTTTTATTAATATATGTAGATATTCATTTATTAATTAATGCTGAATTAAGGAGTTTTTTTATTTTTTTCAATTAAATTTCCGAACTTGGGAATTATGTGTGTTAGATAGTTGCATTTCTCCATTATTAAAGACTTGAGGCGGCCATTAGTTTTGGATTATGATCTAATTCAAAGTTTAGTTTTTCGCAAATGAGAAAGTAATATAAACTATTAAATACTAATCAGGCCAAATTAATTTATTTTTTTTTCCATCTATCACTTTTTCATTTTTTATTGTACATAATTAAATAAAAATTCATTTCAAATTAGAAAAATGAAAAATATTTTTCACCAACTACAAACTACAAAACAATTTCCATTTAAAAATTTATTTAAATTAATTAAACGTTCAATTTATTTCATTGCTATAATTGTTAGTATTGAATGGATTTTAAATAATTTATTTGAAGAAAATTATAGTTATAGCGATGAGGATGAAGAAAATGATAATTTTTATAATCCAAAAACTATAGGTAAATAAAAAAATTTTTTGAAAGAAGAAATGAAAGGCAAAACGAAACACGAAATTTAAATATTCTCTAAACCAGATTTTTCCTTTTTTTCAAATAAGGTTGGCGGTTTCGGGTATCCGGAACCAAAAAACCCGGATATACGGAAATTTTCGGCTATGATATTGGTACCGGTTCCTGGTATCAGAGGAACTGCCAAACTTAATCCCTGATCCCCTTTATCAATTAAAATAAGCCCATTTTTAATTTTTTACTTGTTCTTCGTCTTTAATAAAAACAGAAGATCGTTTAAAAATAAACAATTAACTAGTTTAAATCACAAAAATAAACTTTATAGAAACATTAATAAAAGAACAAAATTTAAAAACTCCAAATATGCAAATTGGCAAACAAAATAATTGGAAAATAGAAGATAATAATGAATGGCTGTTTTTTACTTATGAAAAAGTTTTTAAATTAAATTTTAAATTTATTATATTTTAAAAGGCAAAATGTAACAAATTAATTCTTGTAAAAGGCGAAATAAATAAATTTACAATTTGTCACCCTCCTAAAATAATTTGGAAATTAATTGAAAAAGTAATAAATTTTTAATTTAATAGGGACGTTAAGGAGCAGAGATTTTGGGGGCGCAAATTCAAATATTTTTAAAAATTCTGAAAATTTTTCCTAAAATCTCTCTCAATTTATTTTTTATTTCAGAATTTATTTTGAAAAACATCTAAATAATATTAAAATTTTACAAAATTTTTAATAAAAAGACCAACGCCCTTGTCCTGCCCCACGCCCAAACATCCCCCCATTTAAATATAATAATTTTTAAGTTTTCACCTATAATTAACTTATTTACTCAAAACGATATTAGTAATGCTTTTATTGGAAATTTGGTAATTTTTTTAATTTCTTAGAAAATTAAAAAATGATTTTTAGGTATATTTTATTAATGGGGAAAGAGATAATTTATTTGAAAAAAAGTTGAAAGCTTTAATTGGAAATAGAAGTAAATTGAGGGTTTTTACTGAAGAGGTAATTAAATAAAGGAATTTTATAAAACAAAAAAAAGTTGCGACAAAATTTATTAAATTAATATTTGAACAAGTAAAAATATTCTTTAGAAAATTTAAATAGATAAAGAATCTACATAGAATTTATTAAGTTTAGAAAGCTCTTATAATTTTTTTGTGGATTTTTCTATCTTTAAAATTTTTTTAAAAGAAAAATAAAAAAACATTTTTTCAGTTTAATTCGACAATTAAAACTTTGTTTGTTCCCGATACATTAGAAAATATACAAGTTAAAGCCTTTACAGAAGAAAATAATAAACAAAATAAAATGATTGGAATTAAAGATTTAATTGATTCAAAAGATGATTATCATCGAATTGAATTTATTAAATTTGAAATGAAAAGTAAGAAGGGGGTTTAATTAAATTTTAAAAAAGTATAATATTTCTCATCTTCTTAAACATTTTAAAGTCTGTTTAAAGAGTATAATTAAAGAAAAATAAGTATTGTTATTAAAAAGATATAATTATTTTCGAAATAAATTATTGGGTAGATGAGGGAAGGATAAATACATATGTAGTACTTTTAGAAGGAAGTTAAAAAGAAGTAACAAAACTTTCAAAAAATTATATTAAATATAATGAAATTTAAATAATCTAGAAAAAGTTTAAGTAACAAATCTCCCTAATTCTCATTTTTTTCTAGCAAAACTTCCAATATAAAAATATATTTTTTAAGATAAAGTAGATCCAATAATTTTCTCAATAAATATTCCAATATTTGCTGCACATATTCTTTTAAAAATTGAAAATTTTTCCTATGAAGAATTTCGTTATTTAATTAAAAGAATGGCTAATTCACTTTATTTTCCATATTTTGTAAGTTTTATTTTTTAATTTAAATATTTTTTTTAATTTTTAGATTGAAAAAGACAAAAAATTAAAATTAATTTTTATATCTTTTATTCACAAATATTCAATGTATAAATACCACTTTTCTGAATTGATACCTGCAAAATGGACTTTAGAAGAACATATTTAAGAATCTCTTTATCATTTATTTATTTACCTCATTGTTTATAATCCCCGTGTCATTATTTAATATGTAGAGATCGGATTTGGAGGGATGACTGGGATATAAGGAAATTGGTCAATAAAATTGGTGCTAAATCTCTGACCAAAAAACTCTCCGAAAAATTTTGGTGACTAAATTTCAATTGAATAAATTTTCGAGGCTTAAATTGCCCATCTAGATCAAAAAATTCCTATGATCTGATCTTTAATATATAAAATTGATTCTCATTAAATATCTTTTTAAATTAATTTTAAATATATATATAAATCGAAAAATGAATAAATGTTAAAAAAAGAAAACAATTTCTATTAAGACGTTTAAAAGCTAATGTTCAAAAATTAATTCATTTATGTAACTTTTTAATTTCAAATTCACTATAAAATTTGTTAATTAAAATAGTTTCTGTATATAATTTGCTTTAAACAATTTTTGAACTATTAACAATTTTTTAAATTTTGAGCAACAATTTATAAGATTATTCTTTGAATTAAAATATCCTTCTCTCTATTTTATCCTCTCCATTACAATATTTTCTTTATTTTTATCAGCAAAAAATGTTTTAAAATGTTCATAAGATCCAATCATTATAGCACATGCTGGAGCTACACGTGCTACTCTTGGAACTAACCCTTTTTAATTAATTAAATTTATTTATTTTTCCTAATTAATTACCTGTAAATAACGATTTTATTCCTTTTGTTTTAATTAATTCTTTAAATATTGGGAAAACACCCTTTTTACTTGTTGTTGTTTTTGGGGAAGGAGATATTCTTTCATTTTCAAGATTTATTTTTTTATCATTTGTTTGTCCTAAAGTTATTTGTTGGTGTGTTTTGACAACATCAAAAGGTAATGTTATTATTGAGGCTATCGCTCCTATAAAGAAAGAAAAAAAGATTTTTTTAATAAAATCGAGAAACATTTTAAATTTAAAAGACAACTTTTCAACTTAAAATTGACAAGATTTTTAGAGATTTATGGAAGTTCTCTCCCTCACAAATTTTATTTAACTATTATAATTCAAGGACAACCAAAGCCCAATCAATTACAACAATTACTAGGAAATTTGACTTTCTTTTTTTAAAAACCAAGTTTCCCTCATATGTAATCCTACCCTTTAAATTCTCTTGTATTTTTATCCTCAACTTTTATATTCCAAAAATTCATTCTAAAATATATTTTCAAAATATTATTACCAGCTAATGATCCAAACAAAAAACTATAAGTAAAATTAATTCTTTCAACATTTAGAAATAATAAAGATTGTTGTTTAAAAGTTTCATAACAAGTCCAATAAATAGCTTAAAATATTAATTTAAATATATTTTTATAATACAACTAAAAAACACCAGAAAAAGGAATATCACGTAACATTGTGGCTGTCCAACCACGCCATAAAGCACTATAACCGTCAGAACGGATAGTTCTCGAAATTGCTGATATTAATTCTAAAATAAATAATTAATTAGAGAATTATTTAAAATTTATTTAAGCACCAAAATATGAAAGTTTTTCTGACTGCATTTTTGTTCGAATTAATTCTAAAGGAGAAACAATTGTAACAGAAGATGCACGAGCTAATGAACCAGCCAATAATGGAGCAAAAAAGCTTTACAAATAAATTAGTTTTTTAATTCCAAATAATTTTTTTCAAAATCACGATCCCAAATTAAAAAAAATTTAACATGTTAAAGATTAAGAAATATTTTTTGTTTACCTTTTATTTCCTATCCTTTCACGTAAAATATTATGTAAATTGTCATATAAAGTAAAATAAAAAACTGTGGCAGGCACAGCACTGAGCCTTAAAAATATTTTTTAGAAAAATCATTCAAAAAAATAATTTTTAATTATCTACATTGTGGGGGATAACCCACTCCATAAAGAACGAATTCCTTCATTTCTAGTAATTTTAATTACAGCATCCTAAAATTAAAAAGAATATTTGTAAAATTTTAAAAGACTCTTACAAAAGTTCCAGTGAAATGACCAGGTCTATTAAACCATTCACATTTTTGAGCATTTTTGAAGCCGTTGGTTGTTACGCGTTCCTCGCATACTCTACATAAATGATCCATTAAACCTGACAAAAAATGTAATAAATTAAAGTTGATTTCTGTTATACATATTTCAACAGAAAGGAAAGGACTAATAACTTGAAAGTTTAGCTGATGTGAAGCCACAACTAGGGTTGTACCCCGTCCCCAACAGTCGGGGAAATTAGACTTTTGAAAATTTTCTGCAGCACAACATCAGTGCTAGATAAAGAATTTCTTATCCAGCACTGGTGAGTATATTTAAATACACACCATTAGAATAAAGAAAGCATTCACCCTTAACCAAAGGCCGAACTTGGCTTTGAAGTCTGATTTTCACAACATCCATAGGAGTGACTAGAAGTGATGTAAGCAATGCACCGACAGAAGAGGCTGAAATAATAGTATACAAAAAATAATAAAATAAAAAATAACCAAATAATTGTTGAGGCAATGAAATATCACCAGAATTAGTTGAAAATGTTCTTTTTGGATTTAGACCATTTTTTGCTATTTTCTCTGCCCCCAACGAGATCATTCTCTAAAAGTAAAATAATTTTTTTAAAACTTTCAAAATTTTAAATAGTTAAAATTATTAATTTTAATATTTCAAAAAAAACTATCAAAATTTTTTTATTCTTTAAAAAAACTCAATTTATAGCAAAACACACCAAAGAAAGCATTTAAAATAATAAAGATATAATTTAACCAAAAGAGCATTATTGAAGCATTTATGAAAGAAAGGTTTACAAAAAACTTATAACCACGCATAAAAATGAGTAGAAATATTTACGTAATTTTTTTTTGAAGGGAAAAAGTAATTTCAACAAATAAACAACAAAGATTGGCCGAATATATTTTTTTAAATTTATTTATCACTATTTTTTATTTATTCATTTTCTTGAATATTTAATTCTTTTTTCTCACTGGTTTCAGCATCACCGGTCTTCTCTTCAACAAATCTTCTTTTCATATTAAATGCTTTTCTAAATTTATCTTCATATTCGTCAGCAATTCCGAGACGTTCTTCTGCAGGTACACCAACTATTAATTTATGTAAATCATCTCTTTTATTAGCAATTGAATCAATTCCAATTGCTATATCACTCAATAATTTCTGAAAATAAAAAAATATTTTTTCAAGTTTAAAAAAGGCCAAAACTTACACTAAATTCATTAATTAAATACCAACGTTCAGCAACACTTAATCGATTGCGAGTGACCAAAGCATCTGCATCAGGGTTCTTCCAAAAGTCCAACGCGTAACTATTTTTGTAGATCTAATAAAAAAGAAAAATTGTTTTTCAAGTAATAACATATCGAGTAAAAAAATCAAGAACCTTCCGTCCTCGATGATCAAATCTATCGATATAAACAAAAGGAATAAATCTTTCATCAAGTTGTAAATCACTGTTAAAAACTGAAGCAAAATCGATTTGACCTCTACTTAAATGTAACGACTCTTCAGTACATCCACTCAAAGCAATAATGGGATTCTTAAAATATTTTTTATAATCAACAACTTTAAATTTGAAAAAGAACCTCAAGTCTTCGATTAATTGAACCCAATTGCAACGAAGCTAATGCAAGTTCCTCAACAGATTTATTGTATTCATTTATTGAATCTTCAATGCTTTTGGGAAGTGCAGGAAGGACAGGCTACAAAATAATTTTAAAATATCCAAAAATATTATTTTCCAAAAAACCTCTTTTTCTAAATTTTGTTCATCAACAACGTTTAAAGACACAAGTTTTTGAGTAAATATATGTGCCAATATAAAAATTATATCTTCTTTAGCTTTTGTTCTATTATCTTCGTGATAGAGATCTTCATATGTTGTATGAATATAACGATGTAAAACGCCTGTTTGAAGAATATGAATGAAGACAAGACTGCCGGGATCATACTGACTCAAATGTAAGGCAAAATGAGCAAAACCTCGTGGAATGCACTAAATTAGGTAGAGTATTGTAAAAATATAATTTAAAAATAAAAACCTTTTCATCTAATAATTGCATTCTTCTAAGCAATTGAACATAGAAAAATGTCAAAAATCTTAATAAATTACTAAAATTCCTATTATGCGTTTGCAAAACAAAAGGCACTTTTAATAAAGTTAAAGCAGCCTAAAGAAGTAAAATAATTACAGAAATCAATTTAAAGCCCAAACCTTTCTTCGCACTTCCTCATTTAAAACGTCATTATTGTCTATTTTTGAAGATTTTCCACCTCCCTGAGTTCTTGCATTTTTCAATAATTTTTGTTGTTCTTTTGATAATTCTCCATTGACAAAAGAAATTAATCGAAGAAGAAATGCTGTTGTAAAAGGTACATTTCCTCTTAACGTAGCAAGACTAGCTGTGAGTAAACGTCGAATTTTACTGAAATGACAATTTAAAAGGTAACTTAAATTTTAAACTTTGTTGGAAGTGACATGAAAATAACAGTTCCAGCTGGATCAAAACCTCTACGTCCGGCACGTCCAGACATTTGACGAAATTGTAGAGGATTGAGTTTTGGCGTATCAATTCCAAATATAACAGTTTTGCAGGGCAAGTTCATACTAGAAAATAAGTTTAAAAATTGTTAGAAAATATACCCAAGAGCAAGTGTTGATGTTGAAAAAACAATTCCTAAAAATCCTCTACGAAAGAGCACTTCAACTGCTGAGCGTTCTGCATTAGAAAGACCATCATGGTGAAAGCCAATTCCACGTTCAAAAAGAGTAAGTAATGAACGAGCTTCAGGTCGTTTTATTTTTTTACTTAATTTCTCAATACAACGGTTGTAAATATCTTCATCGCTCCAACGGCAACACAATTTGAATCTTAAAAATACAACCTCATTAATATACAAGGGAAAAAGAGACATGGGGAAATCTTTATTTTACCTTTCCAAATCCTCACGCATACGAATTTTCATTAATGCAAATGCATCGCCATCTTCTGGCATATCATCCTTTTCAAAACGATCTTCATTACCATCTTCATCAACACGTTTACTCTTTCGCTTTGCAGCACGTTCTTCCTCATCACGTTTGCGTTTTGCCAATTTTAAAGCTTTCTAAAATAACAAAAAAATAAATATAAATTAATTTCAAAAATATATAACCTCTTCAGCTTTTAAATTATATTTCTTTTGGAATTCTGGACTAGCTTTGTAAGTCTCTTCTCTTTTCTTTAATTCGTTAAAAATATGTTTTGCCAATTTTTCACAAATATCACGATCATCATTGAAACAAAGTGCAGGAAGTTGCTCTTTCCTTTTTAGCTGATCAATCAAAGGCAATATATTGTTTAGAGCCGATTTACGCTAGAATTTAATGTTATAAAGTAAAAGTGTATAAAACTAATAAACAAACCATATCATAAGGTTTTGAACGTTTTTCAAATTCTTCACCAACTTCTTTCTCTAAGATTTCAAATATTTTATCAATTTTTGTTTTATCTTCATTCATCCATTGAACAAAACGATTTTTGAGTGCATTTTCAAATTGACGTAAATCTTTTCTGTTTAACCAAGCAGCACCGCTATCTGGGGATTTCTCATCAACACGACACAATTGAGTAAAATATTTTGTCGGTTCAAAATCTTTTCTAAAAATTTTATAAATACAAAACAAAACTCTTTTAAATAACTCACTTAACACTATCATCGATGTTAGCCATAAATTCGTAAAGTTCGAGAATCTGACGTGCAGTTAGACGTTGATCAGCAGGAATGCCAAACATTCGAAGCTTTTCAAGTTTATAAACAGCAAATGGATTAAAATATTGCACTACATCATTCCAGTCTGCTCTATAAAATGAAAAGATTTTCTTTCATAGAAATTCAAGAGTGTACCAAGGAGGGGGGAGGGAGGGGCTGAAGACCTATTTGTTTACAGCCTCCTTTAATTACATGCTTATATAACTTTAATTTAAAACAAACTTCGAGTCTTCTTCTTTCTTTGATTCAATATTTTCTTGCTTTGATTCTCTACCATTTTCTTCACTAACTGAATCCTTTGAACAAACCTGAAAAACACAAGTAAAACGATTAAAAGAAAATCTGACCGAAAGTCGCTGCAAACTCAATTCTAATTCTGACCATCGTTCATCATAAGTAATTAATTCAACTTCTCGTGCTGGTAACCCTTCCAAAGGTTTTGCACATTCGGCGGATTTCAACCATTCTTTTAATTCATTAATATTAGAAATTGTTGCAGAAAGTGCAAGGAAAGGACAGCGAATAAGTAAGAAGATATGTTCCCAAACATCACCAATTGAACGCCCTTGTGTGTCTTTTTGACTAAATTTATAAGTTACATATACAAAAATTTTTTTATAACAAACTTGATGCAGTGAACCTCGTCAAGAATTACATATTTAATCCGAGAAACAAAAGATTGACAACGAGGATCAGAAGAAAGTAAAATTTGCTCAAAACATTCAGGAATTGTTACCAAAACTTGACAATTCAGAACATTATCAATAATTTCATTATTGAAAATTCCGTAAAGAACTTTTCCACTTGACATTGCCTTCCCTCGAAAACGTGCATAAACAGAACCAACAATCTAAATAGAAACAAAATTGATTTAAAAACATAAAATAAATATTGAGATTAATGGGAAATGATTAACAAATTAAAACATTTAGAAAAAGTCTGGCCGAAATAGCAACCTGATTTGTCAGTGGTTTTGAAGGTGAAATATAGACAACAACATCGTCATCACTTTTTCTCAAAACTTTCTCAATACAATAGTAGGAGACGAATGTTTTACCAGCTGAAGTTGGAGCCACAATTAATGCACTCTTATCTAAAAATCAAAATAAATGTCAAAACTAAATAATAAATTTAATCATTTCAAATTCAAACCTTGATCAACAGCATCAAGCATCTTTCGTTGCCAAGCATCAGGGCTAAAGCCAGTAACACGGTCATCTTTTTTTGTTGCCAATTCCGTCAAAACATCAATCATTCTACCTCCATATTTTAATTGATAGTGAATTAAATCTATTTGTAAATCCATTTGTTTGTCAGGTCGACGCTTCAATGATTCTGCTTTTCCAAATCCTAAGGATGCCCAAAGATAGAGAATCTTAATTATTTTAAAATATACGAAAGAAAAGTTAAAATATAAAAAACCTTTTCTTTTTGTTGTTCATCAATAAAATTAAAATATTTTACAAACATCGCCTTAACTGATTCTACTAATCCAAGTGCTCCTTCTCTTTTTTGATTTATATCTTCAAATGAAGTTAATTGTTCAGAAAAAACATCAGCATAACGAATAACTTTTTGATACATACAAAGAGCTTTAGATTCGTCTAAATCTAAACGTTTCAACAATTCATCCAATGCATTTAAAGTCTAAAAATGTTTTTAAAAAATATCAAAAAAATAATTTTAAAGATACATTAGTTTTTAATCTCGTGGCATATTCAATTTTAAGCTTATCACTTTCTATTTGTTGTTTTCTTTTTGCATCAATATTTTGCTGTAAAATTTGATCTTTTTTACTTAAACCACCAGCTCCCGGCTTTCCTCCTGAAAATTAACACGAATACAATTTTTAAAATAAGATGATCAAAACCTTTCTTTGCTCCTTTCCCTTCCTTTTTCTGAACATTTTTCTTGCTCATTTGAGAAGATGGACGGCTATTTTCATTATCAGTATCCTCCGTAATTGCTGGAGCCTTAACTACACGAGAAAAATCGACGAGTAATTGGCCTCCCTGGCCTTCCAATGAATCAGAAAAAAGTTGATACCTAAAAATTTCAAATATTTTTAATCAACATTTTAACAAACCATGCTGATAAATTTTGTCTCTGCCAAATTAATTTCCTCGCTTTTCTCGCATCCTGAAGTTGTTTTTTCTCATACTCACGTTGTTTTTCTTCTTGTAACATTAAAGAATCTCCAATAGGCTCAAAATTCCATCTGTATGCATGTTCAATAATTTTAGCATAGTCATGCTCAAAAGTTGTTAAAGGAACGATTTTTGTGTCAGTCAACAACTAAAATTTATTTTTAAAAAATCTAAAAAATTAACTCGACCGATTGGACATCAGGAATGTATTGATCCAAAAATTCATTTTTAATTGCATAAAGTTGACAACGATCCATTCTTGTCGTTGGAGCCTCACTCGGTGATAGTTGGTCAAGTAATTCTTCTTTCACATCGGTTGGAATTGAAACTTTGAAGCCAACAATTCCATGAAGATCCGCAAATTCTTTTTGCAGACGCAAAGGCAAAATCTGATTAGAATTTTGGGTACCATTAATATGGCAATGCCCATTTAACTCTAATGTATTATTTGCTTGCTCAAGACCTTCCGAATTAGGAGGATCAAGGGGATCTCCCTCGCCAGCGTTTTGACTGGAATGGCTCTTATTTTGATTCTGTTTTTTGCGCTTATTTTGAGCAATAATGGCCTTTTTGTGTTTTAGTTCTTCTTGTCTTTCCTTCTTTCGATCTTTTTGTAAATCAACTTTTTTGGGTTCTTCTATTTTGGTTATTATGGGCTCGTTTGTTTTGGACTTTTGGGGTCCTTTTGGTTTGGAATTTTGGGAATCTGTATCGTCTTGGGAATCTGTTTTGATCTAAAAATATTTAGAATAGTAAAAGAAATTATACATTCACTCTCCACAAATTAAAAATAATTTTAAAAAATTTATAAAACGAACCGTCTTTTTGTCTACAATTTTCTTGTATAGAGAGAGAACCATACGGCCATCCCATAAATCTTCTAGGGGAAAATTGATGGACTGAAAAAATTTTCGAACTCAATCAATTGTTTATTAAAATTAAATACATCAGAATCCAATAAAGATTGCTCCAAAAAGGTTTTTCCTTTAAGCTGCAAATATTGAAATTTTTTAAGAGCAGGATCATGTCTCCAATTATTCTCTTCCTCTTCCAAATATTTCCTACCAGTTCCAAGTCTTGCACAAACCAAAGCAGACAAAATAACAGACATACAAACATATTCAAAATTATCATCCTTTTTGTCATTATCTTTCATAGCTTTACAAACAACATAAGCCCAAAACTGTGCCGCAGTTTTACATTCACAAACTTGTTTTTGGATTTGCTGTTGAATTTCAATTTTGTTTAATTGCTTTTCTTCTATAAAATAAAAATTAATTTAAAAAAATCTAAAAAATTAAAAAAAAAACCAGATATTTTCGTCCACAAAGCAGCAATCTTTTTATTAAGATTAGCAATATTTATTGGCACAGTAGAGAAACGAAAAGACATAACAGAAGTGAAATTGATAGTAAATGCATTAAATAAAACAACAGGTATTGCTTCATTAATTAATTGGAACGCTAAAAAATAAAAATAAAATTTAAAAAAGAAAAATCCAAACATGTTGAAATAAAAAAACTGGCAAAATCAATATCCTCATAAACTGTTATTTGCATATTCTTTTTATCTTTTTCATCAATTGTTAATTTTTCAATTCCAAAAATTTCCCTTGGAGAAGCATTTTCTAATGACATTAAAATAAATGAGGGCGTTAATTGATGAAGAAAAACATTCCAACGTTTATCAAGCGGAGAATTAAAAATCTCGATATCTCCACTCCATTTACTTGAAGTTAAAAATCGTAAAAGATATGAATACAAAAACGATAAATATCCATTTTTGTTGAACAAAACACTCAAATCAGAAAATACAACTATTTTGAATTTTGCATTTAATTCTTCTAGAGCACAAAGGAAGTGTTTTAACTAAAAATGTTTTTATTTAAAAATATTTTGATAAAAAGTAGGGAAGTATTCCAAATCCAAAAAATGTTATTCTAACACTAAACATAAATTATAAAATTAAATATGTATGACATTATTTTCTTACATCTGGAATCTTAAAGAAATTGTAAACACAATTTGAAAAATTTCTCTAATTCCCGAAAGCAATCGGATGGGGGTATTGTACTAAACAATGTAAAACATAAACAAAAAGAGAAAAACGTCTAAAAATTTCATTTTATAACAACCTGTTCACTAATAACAATCGTTTGGCCCCCCAAAATCCAATTATGATATCGATGAGCACATAATTCCAAAAGTAAAGAATCGAAAGAAATAAGGAAAATCTCGACATCAGCAAATTCTGTAATAATATCGACATACGGACAGGGAACCAGCTTTAATGTGTTGAGATTGAGTTCCAAGTCCCCTGCAAGTTTTTGCAAAAATTTTTTACTAAAAAAATAATAAACCTTTAACTGCAATATTTTCATCAATTTCACCTGTCTCTTCCATTCTTAAAAGTTAATTGATGATAATTAATTTCAATAATCTAAACTTCTTAAAAACTTAAATTTTAACCGATTCAAATAAAATTTGGCAATCTTAACTACTTAAAGTTATCCATAGACATAAAATTTAAACGAAATTAAGTAAGAAAGTTTTGAAGATTCTTACATTTTGTGAAAAAAATTTTAATTACAAAAAAGAAATTTACAAATTGAAATATGTAAAATGAAAGTAAAGGTCGATTCAGTGCCGCCTAATTGTGTAGGCAAAAGGGGACGGTAAAATAAATTTCCCTTAAGTGGTTTTAGGGCCAAAAGCAGAACAATTAAATATCCCAACAACATTGATTTAAACACTAGGGTTAGTCCTCCCCGAAAGTCGGGGAATTTGAGAGATTTTTTGAAACTCCCGTCGGAGACCAACCCTATTAAACACTCTACAATATCGAATGTTACAATAAAACATTGTCATCTTTATAATAGCAAAAATATATACAAAATATATAAATGAACGAATAAAATTTAAAAAATATTTTAAATAATTTTATTGAGGTACAATAACATTATTTTTATTTGAAAATGCCGTATGTGCTATTTGATTATTAATAGTAGTTGACATATTTGTACTATTACATTTAAAAATCAGTCTTCTATAATTTTTAACAGTTAATAAAGTTACCTTAAAAATTAATTATTAAAAATATTTTTAAAATTTAAAAAATTACCAAAGGATTTAAAACAGTAATTAAACCATTAATTGGAGGTCCAAACATCATAATAACTTTTGAGCTTACAGTTATGTTGAAATAAGGTCCAATATTTACTAATATTTGAGTGAAAGATGTTATTAAAGGTAGAAGGGCCTTAATTGAGAAAAAGTGTTAAATATTTAAAATAAATATTTTTAAATTATTAAGTCTTTGAAAATTAAATTTTTAGTACAAATATTATTCTATTAAATTTATATGATCAAAAAATATTCCCAAAACTGACATGAGTATACATATTTTAATTTATTTTACCTGAGTACATAAAACAATAGTTATCTGTCTATTAACCTTTCGCGTAGTTTCTAAATTAGGTCCATTATATTTTCGACGAACATACAATTGAATTCTTATTCCACAAAAAATAATTATTGAGTATGTTAAAAATGTTAGAATATTTGCATAAATTGTTAAAAAGGATGAAATTTTATAACCCTATAAAATTTATAACATGAAATTGAGTTCTCAAGGGGAAGGAAATTTTAAATTTAAATATTCTCCATTTGAATTTGTCATGTCCACATCTCGATTTATGATTCTGGGATTCTCAATAATCATCTCAATTCAAATTGTAATAAATTTATATACCGAATTACGCATTCCAACAACATAATTATTTACTGTATAATTATCAAGTTCTAACATTTTGGCTAATTCATAATTTGTTAAATGTTCATTTTCTGGTGTTGGTTGGTTTATTATATTCGATACAACAAACATAACCATAAAAGGGAGAGCAGAGATAATGAGTATAATTGTGTGATGTTTCCATTTAATTTTTATTTCACTTAAAATTAGTTCTTTAGAAAATTAATTTTGGCTTATTAACTGACTAAAAATTTTAGTTTTTTCCTTGCGCATAGAGTAAATTTAAAAATTAATATATGTATATATTAATATAAAAATTAAAAAAATTAATATAAAAATTAATATATATTAAAAAATAATATATTTAAAAATTAATATATTTTTAGTCAGTTAATAAGCCAAAATTAATTTTCTATTAAATACGAGGTTCGTATCCGTAAAATTACTGAGGTCCGTATCCGAGATTAAAGATAAAGCTTTATACAGACCCGGCAATTTCAAAAGACCGAACTCTACTAGAAGCAAAAATTCTTTTTTTAGAGGTAAATTAAATTTTACCGTACAACAGCCAGATAACGAAAAACAAATTGAGAACAAACATTCATTGTCGTAAATCTGCTGATAAATCCAAAAAACATAAAACAAATACTTTGCCAGGGAGTTGGCAAATAATGTGTTGGTCCATATTCCCATACTGTTCCAACACCATTATCAGAAACAAAAACCTTTTAAATGTTAGTTAAATAGGTAACTATTAATTAAAGTAAATGAGGGAAAAATGTTGATTGGTTAGTTTATATCCCAAAATTTTTAATAATTAATTTAAATATTTTCATTTTTATTTCCACATTTTCATCTCACTTATCCCAAAAAATTAAAATAACCGGCTGAACGGCAGCAAATACAAAAATCCCAATAATATCAACAATACAAGTTTGTAAAAGTATTCGATTATAAACTCTCATTTCATTCATTGTATATCGGAGAATTAACCAAATTAGTGAAAAATTAAAAACTAATCCACTAGTTACCACACAAAAAGTTAAAGCCTTATATATTTCTGTTATCATTTTTAAATCTTAATAAAACAAAAATATTTATGTATTATTCTAATTTTGTCAAAAAATTCATTTAATTATTTAGAAATTAATTAGAAATAAATATTGTAGAAGGAACAAAAACCCGTATACCTAGGTATGATTTAAAAGGTATTTTTAAATGTGCCTAAAGTAACCCGAAAAATTTTTTCCCAAATTTAAAATCTGCATACTAACAATAAATATTATTTTATTCTACAATTACTTATGTCAATCATAATATTTTTATAAAATTAATGTCTAGAATGCTAACCACAACAACTAGCTTTTTATTAATTCCAACCTTTCAATTAAAATGAAAAAAGTACTTTCTTGGTAAATGAAAAAGTATAAACAAAATATTTTTAAATTTACACCTGTTAACTAATTAAAAAATTTTTTTAAAGAAAATTGCCAGTTTATGTACTACATCTTTTTAGTAAACAAAATTTAATGTTTACTTTAAAATTTTATTAAAAATTAATTAAATTATGAATAATAAAAATTCAGGTGGAAAATTATTTTTAATATTTATAAAAAATAGAATATTTTATTAAATACCGTAAGTACTCTAATACAAGCCTTGGGCTTATTTCAACATTCTCCTTATATGGGCCTATATTATGTAGAGGTGAGCTTCTACAAGAGATGGGCCTATATTAGAGTATTTATGGTAAATAAGTAACATGTAGAGATTCTTTTTTGGCCATTCCGCTTCTGTCTGCAGTTTCTTGGCCTCTTTTGCCAAAAATACACCTTATTTTTGAAAAAAATTGTTCTGGACTTCCAAAATTTTTGTAAATAAGTTTTCTATAATTTTTAACAGTTAATAAAGTTATCTTAAAAATTAATTTTTATTAAAAATATTTTTAAATTTTTTGTGTGATTAAATCAAGCACGAAGGTTTCTATTTATTTACATTTAAAGAGCACAATCTGGATGATTTTAGCACCAGGGTAAAAAATCCAAAATTATATTTATTTACTGGAAGCATTGGCTAAGAAATTAAGGAGTCGAAAATATATAAATTTTATATGTAGAATTCTTCTTTAAATTACCCAATATAAAATTTTTTAAAATGCTACATAATTCTAGTGTAAGAAATAAATATTTGCTTTTACTAATTAAAATAAGCCGTTTTTACAACATTTTTCTCTACTATTTTATTTCACACATTTTAATTATGCATATCAGTATATCTTTCATCATTATTATCAACAAAATTTCATCTTTCCAACTTCCTGTTTAACTCGATGGAGGGCCAGTTGTTTGGTGACTCTCAACATACGCGGCTGTTTTTGCCATAAAATTTTCAATTATACTGCAAGGATTAACGCTGCCACCACTTGTTGTTGCAGCACCCCCAGTACTCGATGGTGCCATAGCTCCACTAAAGACTCCTGCCCCTGGAGTTCCAGACATACTTCCAGGCATACCTCCAGACATACTTCCAGGCATACCTCCAGACATACTTCCAGACATACCTCCAGACATACTTCCAGGCATACCTCCACTCATTCCATTAGAACCACCATATGTAGGCGTTCCTCCTTCAAAAAAATTTTTCAGAAAATTTCTTATGAAATTACCATGTCCCTGATATTTGCTAGCCATATTCTTAATAAGTAAGGCTTTAGTAGGTTCGTCTAGATGTGACAAAAGTTCAAAGAATTTTGTGCATTTATCCCCAAATGTCATATCATTATTTTTGATTACTCCTTGCTAAAAATGATTGTTTTTTTTAATTTTTAATTAATTTTTTTACGTTAAATTGGTCGACTAATGTTTTCTGTGGACCATCTTGTAAGCTATTGTCGAATTCTTGGAATGCTTCTTGTCTTTGAGTTTCCATATTCTTTAGTTCTGTACACATTTCCTAAAATATTTTTTGATTAGGTGCACAGAACTTTTTTATTTAAATAATTTTAGTAATTCTAATATGTAAATATACAAAAATTAAATCCCTACAGTTTGTACGGATTGACCAGCAAGAATTTGAAGGCAAGCATTATTCAAATCATTAATTGTTTTATTAAAGGATGTCAACATCATCACGATAAAACTTGTTTTAACAGTTGGTGGCAACTTATGGAAATCATTACGAAAAACACTGTTCGCTTTAAATAAATTTTTATAAATTTTTAAGGATTAAGGTGAACACAGGAGAGAATTAAAAGAGATTCTACGTACCGTATTTTCTCGAATAATTCCCAACCCTCAAATAATTCCTCATGCCAAGGAAGGGTTGAAAAAATAATTCCCCAGAGGAATTTTAATTTCTTAGTTAGTAAATTTATTAATTAACATTTTTTACTTCCTAGACTTCCAGCATTTTGACCAACAGACCCCCCATTAGCATCATCGGCATATTGTGGACGAGCATTTATTGGCAAAACAACAGATAATAAACTAATTAAAACAATGCTTAATATAGCCATATTTTAATATTTTTTAAAAAAATATTTATTTTTTAATTTTTGAACTTTTGAAATAATATATTTCTAAATTATTTTCTCTTCACTTTTATATGTACCAATTTATTTATTGTTTTTAATTTAAAATATTTTTTTGAAGAATTTTTTAAGCAGATTTAATATTTTAATTATTTTGTGTCTGAACAAAAAAATATTTTTAATAAATCAAAAAATAAAAAAACAAGATTAAGTATATTTTTTAATTGAAGAGATTATTATTTGTGTTTTAAATTTATTTTTAATTGGTCACATTATTTGTTTTGTTTTAATTTAATCTTTTAAATTTTATTATTTGAAGATTAAATTAAAATTTTAAACTACAATTTTTATTATCAAAATATTGTTAATCTTTTTGTTTAAAATTTTGTAATTTCTTTTATTTTATAAAAGTTCTGAATTATATTTAAATGAAGTCTACTACAGACCAGTGGTTGAGTAAAATTTTGGTTCGAGTTTCTAAACACTCCTGACTAAGTTATCGACTTCCCTGTAAACGTTTTAAATATGTACTTGCCAGTTGGATCACCATTCCTCTTTACAATAAATATTCATTGTTTAATGCTTTAGGTTCTGGGAGTACACTTTTTTACATTAAAATACCCCATTTATTAATGCTTTAAATATTTTAGATAAGATTTATTTATCATTTAATATTACATAACTATTATTAATTATTTTGTACATTTTCCTTTAATTAAATTTTTAGAAATTTTTCATTAATATCTACATGGAATTTTGTATGATCTCTATATGATAGCTATATATTATTTTAATTATTGCTCAAACATCATTTTAAAAACTTTTTTCTATTTTTATATTTATTTTTAACCTTTATTTCAAAATTAGCTTTAAATGATTAAAAAACAAAACTTTATTTAAATAAAAACTTTATTTACAATTAAAGTTTTTATTTTTATTAAATGTTTTTTAATCATTTTAAGTTTATTTATTTATTTTAACCTTTCCGGAATTAATAAATAAACGTAAATTAAGGTAATTATGTAAATAAATAAATGTTATTTTTGATCTTTTGTTTTTAAATATAAAAATAAATATTTTATTTTAAAAGAATTATGTATATTCTCTTGTCTTTTTAAATAAAATTATTTTTAGCATTAATATTTTGCAATACATATATTTTCTTTTATTGTTTTTAATGCCAAATAAGAGAAGAAAAATGACAGGAAATGGAGCGCATGCAAGCGGAAATTCTTTGCTTTCTATTTGGACACCCTGAGGCGTAGAAGCTATATTTAGGGGGTTTGTAAATAAGACAAATTGAAACTTTGAGAAATAAATTTTTTGGAGAAATTAATGGAAAAATGTCACATTTTTGAAGAAAATTTTATTTTTTTTGTGACAAATATTAAATCAAAAATAGTTTTTTTCAATTTATAAACAATATTAAATAAATAATTTACTAAATTAATTATTTACTTTATTTAAACCAAAAAATATATTTCCTAATATTATTTTCTTTACGGAAATCCTTCCTATTCTAATACATATCTCTTGGGAATTTCTAATTGCGGCGTTTAAAAAAAGGACAAAAGATTATATGTAGATATTTAAATTGTACAAAAACTTTAAAAAAAATAATTTGTCAATAAATTATTTGAGAAATTAAGGTCATTAAATTTTCAAAAATCCAAACATTCCAACAAAATTTAATGTTTTATTTAAAATTTAACAAAATTTACTTTTTGTTAAATAAAATGCTAAAAAAATATTTTTATTTTCCGGTATTATTTTCCCAATAAATTTTTTATAAAAAGGTGGAAAGAAAAAAATATTTAAGTAATCGTGGGCGGTGGCAAAAAACCTTTAAAAAATAAAAGAAAATTATTTAAATATTTTATTATTTAATTTATTTTTTGAACTAAATTTCTGGTTTTTTAATTAATTCATTTATATGTACATATTTAAATGTAAAATAAAAATTTTTTTAAATTAATTTTTATATTTATTTTTGTATTTTGTAAATATTTATTTTAGTTAAATTTTATTTTAAGAAAATTAATTTATTTGAAAAATTTTTTACAAATTAATTTTTAAATAAAAATTAAATATTTAAAAATAAATTAATTACTTGAAGGAAGTAACTAATACTTAAATACCGCAAATTCCTTAAAATAGCCCCGGAGACTATTTTTTAAACCCTCACGAATGGGGACAAATAATTTCTCGACTATTTTTAGAGAGGGGGTTTTAAATTAAATTTATTTACAAAAACTTTTATTTACTGTTGTGGAATAGATAAAAGCAAACCAGAAGTTGAAAAATTTTTATTTATAAACTTAATCACCTCCTCATTTAATAACTCCTCCATCCAAAACTTCCCTTTTAGATTTTAAAAATAAAAATAGAATTTTATATTAAAAATAAAACTCAAAGAATTTTTAATTAGATAAAAATTATTTCAAATATTTATTTTTTATTTCTCTTTTTGTATTTAGAACAACTAAAAATATTTATTTAACAAGAATTTTTAATTAATTTTTATTATATTTTAAATATTCAATATTTTTTTATTAATTTAGTTAATTGATTTTAAATAAATGGAAGGAAGGGGGGAGCTATTTAATTCTGGAAATTAAATGTTGCAAAAAAAGGAAGTAGGAAATTAGTATGCATAAAAGCACGGGCTTCCTCCATTCCTTTTTTCCTTTCGAAAAATTTGAAAACAAATTTTAATTTCAACATTTTTATATGCTTGGATAAAAAAATATCTTTTAAATTAAAATTAAAAAGAATTTTTTAATTTAATAAATAGTTTTTTTTAAATTTAATTATGTAAATTAATAAAAATAGCTGAATATTATTATATTATCTTCTTTTTTTATTTAAAACAATTATTTATTTAATTTAAATAATTCTTTTTTTTTTAAATTAAAAACTAAAAATAAATATTTATTTTTTAATATAATTATGCAAATTAAATTTTTTTCCTTAAATAAATGTCAAAGAAAAGTTTTTATTTAAATAAATTATTTATTTATTTATTTACTCTTTAAATAATTAATTTTTTTGTTTTGAGTTACAATTATTTTTCTTTATTTATTTTTTATTTAATTTGTATTTTGTGTTTTAGTAATTGTTTTTTATAATAAATTTAAAACTACTTTTTTCTTTTCTTTTTTTATGAAAGTTTTTAAATTTAATTAAGGGAAGTTTTGTTAAATGAAGGGGAGTTGTCATATAAAATATTATAATACACCCCCCCCCCCCCAATTTATTTAGTGTTACAGTGTAATTAATGCCTAGCCTGATTACCGCAAACTCCCTCCATAATTAGCAACTATGTAGACAAGAGGTGCACTCAATTGCGGAGTGAAATTACGTGTTTTTTGATTCACGGATTGCAGATTTTAAAATTAAAATTGTGGATTGCGGCTGCAAAAAAATTTTTTTTCACTTGCTTGCATACGTGTTCTAAATAACCTTTAAACAAAGTTACAACTTTAAACTTTCTAAATCTGTAAAATGGCTATGTGTAACTTTTAGTGATAGTCGAAGTTCAGATAAGCCGAGAGTAGAGAGTTTCGTCCATCGCTAGTAACTTCCAGATCATTACTTAAATTTCTATCTTTAACTTCTAGCTTAAAATCGTATAAAATTTAAAAAGCCAAAAAGGGGCTAACTATATTCATTATAAATTTTCTTGAATAATTGCCATTTAAAAAGGCGTGGTTCTATTATATTTAACAAGACATATACAATTTAATTAATATTTTCACACACCTCTACTTCCTCTTTTTTTCTTTTATTTTTTATACAACATACTATTTAAATAAATAAGTTTTTTTTATTATAATATAAAAAATAAATTATAATAATTATTTATTTAGTCTAAAGTTTTAATTTGTTAGTTTTCTTAGAAATTATTTAAAATTCAAAGTTGAATAAAGGAATAATTTAACGCTGAATACCCTTTATTTAAAATTCAAAAGTATCATTTAGTTCTTGTAATAGATACCTAAGTGGACTTAATTTTCCCCGAATTCTTTTATTAAATATTTCCAGTTATTTTTAAATTATATTTTCTTTTATTATTTATTTTTTACTTGACTCTTGCCTTCAGGCATTTATGTTCTATTTATGTTAACACTTTTTTGCTTCACACTTTATTTTAACTTTTCCATTCTATCAAAATTTAAATATTTTAGAAAAATAAATTAAAAAAAAAATAAATGAATAATAACAATAATAACAATACTATTTCATTACAATTTCTCCAAACTTCAACACCAAAATATTTTTCTTATCAAAAAAATATTTTAGAGCAATTAGATTCTTCCCTTTTTATTAATTTAATTCGTTATGGAATAGCTGCAAATGCTATAGGAACAAATGCTTTTATTTTATATTTATTTATTAGGTAATTTTTGAGAAAAAAATAAATTATGTAAAATTTATTTTTTTTAAAAAGGTTTCGATCATTACGTTCTACTCAATGCAATTTATTTATTGCTGCAAATGCTGCTGTAGAATTAATTATTGGTAATTCTGATTTTAAGCATTTAATTTTGTTGGAAATATTTTTTTATTTAAAAAATTCTGTTTCTTCTGAAACATCAAACAAAAAAATATTTTATGACGAATTTATTTATATAAAAATAAGCCTTTACAATTATAATAATTTATTCAACAATAAATAATTTAAAAAGGTTTTGGCACAGCTTTGCGTGGTTCTTTTCAACTTTACGTTTTGGCTAATTCTATAATGAAGTTTAGTCATTCCCTTTGTGTTTGGATTGGGGCTCCATTAACTGGAGGATTTGCTGCTAACCAAATAACAATTTTAATGTTAGCTTTGGATAGACTTGCTGCTGTAGCACGTCCTCTAAAATATGGAAATAAAAATAAAGTAAATAAATAAAATAATTTAATTTTAATTATGTAAATCTCTTTTGTTTTTTAGTCGTTAGTTTTTGGATCTCTTTTTCTTTCTGTAGCCGTTTTTGTGGGAGCTATATGGCTTTCGTTATGGGGAATTGATGATTCTCAGTCTTCTTCTACTCAATGTTCTATGGGTATTAATGCTGGACCTTTATTTTCTGTTATTTGGTCCCTTTTTGCGCAGAGCAGTACTTTACTTGTTTTTGGTTAGTAATTGAACTTATTGGAGCCGATATTAAACTATTTTTCGCTACTTGATATTTTTATGGATATCTAACATTTTCTGTCTATTACCATTAAAATTCTCTCAAAAATAAATTTTCGGTCGACACAGATCCGAAGCTAACCAAGTCTGTGGATGCCTTTAATGACCAAAAGATATCTAATAAAAAATCGCTTTTATAGAGAATTCACTAAATAGAGGATTTTTAATTTCTCAACTAATTTTTTTTCAATTTTAAGGTCTTTACATTTCAATGCTTGTTATGTTTTATATGCAAACTGGAAAATTAAATGTTTATTCCAGACATAAATATTCTATTTGTAGTGTAAATTTGTGGAGTATGCCTAGAAGCGAAAGTCAACAATTAAATATACAACAAAGACAGCAAAGAAGGGTACTGTGAAATTTTCAAAAAAATCTTTAAAAAAATAAAAATTCTCTCACTCTTCTAGCTAACAATTTCTGTTGCTCTTATTTTACTTCTTTACACAATTTCTTGGGCTTTACCCACAGCAATATGGTTTGCATTCAATGTGAGAATTATTTACACCGCAAGGGTGTGAAGTTAAAAAATTATAATTTATTCAAAAATTTTTATTAGATTTTGGATCACGAGGATCGAACAAGAATTAATTATGTTACTTTTTTACAAGGATTTTTAACACCTTTTGGGGCTGGCATTAATCTTTACATTTATTTGTGGAAACATGCTGAGATTAGGTGGAAATTCTGTTATTTGTTTTTATTTGGAATGGGTTTCCTTCCCTTTTTTGAGTCCAATGTCTTTGGACAGATGACCACATCCAATAATTATTTTTCCAGTTAAAATCCATTCTTTTAAATGGCGGCCTCTTTAAATTTTTTGCATAAATATTTTTTAATTTTCTCAGAAATTCTGCTGTCTCCACAATTCCTTGGCTTAAAAATATTTTGAGAGAGGAAATGATTAATCCAGTTCCATCAAGTCTTTTGAAAAGAAGTGGTTCTTCTTTAGGCGTTGAAAGAAACCAATCAGACAACAGAAGAACAATTGAAATGGTTTGTTTTTTGAATTAAAAATTAGTAAATAATTCCATTTATAATCCAAAAAATATTCAATAATTTTTTGAATAATTGAGGTTTAATAAACATAATTATTAATTTAATAACCTAAATTTTCCGTACAAAATCTAAAAAAGAAAGGCATAATTTAGCAAGTTTAAAAATAAAAATGGCGAGATCTTAGCTCAAATATAATTTCAGAATTTTTCCATTTTATTAATTATATATTTATGTATCTAACAATTTTTTCAGAGATTTTCATTCGTAGCTCGAAATTCAAAAATTCGAACTCCTCTTCTAACAAATACACAACAAAATACATCATTAATATTGAAAGGAAATTCTTCTTCATCTGACAATACAAATAATGAAAATGAAAGATGACAACAATTTTATTTAAATTATTATTTATTTAAAAAAATAAATTCTTAGAAAAAAAGAAACTTTTTTTAGAAAAAAAAAGAATTTAAATTAAATTTGTTGAATAATAATTAAATTTGTTTATTTTTATACATTTAATTTCTATCTATAAAAAAGAGAAATTAAATTAATTTAGAAATTTAATAATAAAAGTGTTATTGGAAAAAAAATTTTTTTCTAACCATTTAACAAAAATAAATTAGAGAATAATATAGATTTAAATCACTTAGAATTATGAAAACCGAAAATTTTTAAAATAATTTTTCTACTTAAATAATTATCAGAACATAGAAATTTTAGAGAATTCTGAATATAAAGAATATTTAAGTCAACACAGATAAATACAATAAATTTTCCATAAATCAGAAAAGGACCCTAACATGTTGTTAATTAAAAAATAGGCCGATTAAAAAATAAATAAAAATTCTAACTAACAAATACATAGCACCATTATTAAATAATCTTCAAAATGTTATGCATTTAAAATAAGCCAAATTTGTTCTTGTCCAGGTGCACAAATTATTAAACGTTGTTCTTCTTCGTAATGACGTTCGGCGAATGAATTTAAACTTGAAAAAGCATTGCAAACTGCACGACGTATAGGTTGTAGAAGAATTTCTTCAGTTTCACGCATTCCAATATAGAGACCGAAAGCGGCACGAACCTTAGAAGAAAATTTGGAGAAAAAAATATTCTGAACAGACAAATATCCTTTAAAGTCTATCGGAAGTAGCCAGACTTAAATATTTAATAATTTATTATCTTATAATTTTTAAACAACTCCAACAGTTATTTACTATGATGGGTTAAGAAAAAAATAGAGCAAAGGGGAATATGTAACTATAGAGAGGGTAGGAATTTTAGAAAAAATTTGAATATTTTACCAAAGGGAAAGGATCAAAAAATATAATTAATTTACTTGAGGCCAATTTTGCTTCAATTGCTTGAAAGCTTGTGAACATCTATCATTTAAAGCCCGAGGGTTATATCGCTCAGAAGATGCAACATCCAAAGGAGCGAGTTCATTTTTTGCCCGCTGTTCTTGCTCATTCTAATATAAAATATAATAAAATAATAAAATTAAAAATAAATATTTACTTGGAATTGATCTAATTCTGATTGAAAATTGGCTAAATGGCCCAATAAAAGATCAGAAATGTGAACAATCATTATATGACACCAACGTTTTAAATGTTGTTCGATGATACGTCTAGAATCTGTTTGTAATTCGCTAACATGAACAGGTGTCTGAAAATTTAGAAATCTCTAAATTAAAATTTTTAATAGCCAGATTATGGATAGGAATTGAGATTTTTAGATTTATGGCTGGAAAAGAGGGGATTGATGAAAAGTGAAAATTTTTGAATAGAAAAAAGTGAAAAAGTAGTGTGAGCTCTCGCTGAGATTCAATTAAAAAAATTTAGGAAAGCCAAAAATTAGATACCAATAAAAGAAGCGATAAAAGTGCATTGTTTGTACCAAATTCAAACCATCTAGCACGATTTTCAGGATTTAATAACTAAAAAAATTAACTTAAAATTTAATTTTTTAAGAATTAAAAATACTTGTAGCATCGATTGTGTATATTTACTTAAATCTAATTGATAATCCAATTGTGGGTGAATTTGTGTTTCTTCTATTTGTCCAATGCCTATCCCTGATCCTGATGACAAAACAGAATTTGAACGTGTTAATGTCTGCATAGGTGGTTGTTTTTGTTTTTGGTGTTGACGGTAAGGACTTGTTTGTTCACGAAGAATAAGTAAATGTTTAATTATAAATAATTCTGAATCAATTGCTCGATTTGGAGAATTTTTTATTGTAGAACGGGCTAAAAAATAAAAAAAAAGTTAATTTACATATTATCAATAGAAAAATAAAATCTGCACCTGAATCAATAGGCAAGGCTCTAATACGTTCCACTGCATGTTCAAGTGATTGACAACATGAATCAAGTAATTCACGAGAAACATTCATAAAGACAGTTGGCTAAAAATATTTGAAATATTTTTTAGTAATATCAACAATATCAGCTGTTGAAAACTGGCAATTAATTTTCGAAAAATGAGGACTTATGATGCAAATTTTTACCCCCGAAGCAAGCCCCAAAATGAACTTATTTTTAAAATATCCAACACAAGAAGTCAATATAATAATTCTACTTACATCCAAACAACGATATAACTTGCTAAGGCACATCACAGTCCTTTTAACTGTTGGATACCTAAATATAAAATGAAAAAAGATTCACTAAAAATTATCCAAACCAAAGACAATGTTGGTCAATAGGCGATGTACTTGCTTGTTTTGTCAATTTTACATATCCAGTACCAGATTTCTTTGTTGGAGGTAAAGGACCAATTGTCTCACAATCTTCAACTTGGTCATCCAAACTATAAAAAATTATTTTTTATTTAAAAATAAATTCAAAGGCAACTTTTTGTTTTGCTCTTTTTCAGTTTTCCCAGTATCACCATTATTTATTTTTTGCATCATTAAAAGTCGTTCAGGATAGACTAAATCGCCAGATGCTGGATTATAATCAAGAATATCAGATTTGGCAAATAATGAAGTTCTAAAAAGAATTAGTTAAAGAAATATTTTTAATTAAAAAACCTGTAAACAATTCTCTCAACAATATCAGCAACCAATTCATTAATTACTCTAATAAAACCAATTCGAGAAATTGATGTTTGTTGTTGTTGTAATGATGTAAAATCAACAGCTGCTGAATCAGGGGTTTGTCTAAGTCCGCAACGTTCATCTATCATTTCTACCTGAAAACAGATGTCAAGAAAACAAATAAGTTATAAGCTTTGGAACCGCTAACAATAAGAAAGGAAACCTAGGAACAGCATAAATGATAAATTTTTTGGAACTCGGATTACAATGCCCCAAGACAACAAATATAAAACTTACTTTAAGTAAAGTACAAAGTTGTGCAAGTGTTTCCAAATGTTGATTATGAATAATAAGTGGGCGTAAAGTATCATAAAATATTCTAGATATATTTTCTATAAAAGAATGGAAATGTTGAGCAGAAGAGTGTTGCTCGTTTGAATAGAGAGGCCAAAATGAAAATAATGAGGGTGAAGAAGGGGTCATTGCTGTTCTACAAAAAATTAAAAAAAAATTTACAAAATTCCAAAAATTCCAACTTTGTTCCCTGATCAAAATCCAAAACAAAAAATTGTTTGTATAAACGCAATTCATCATCACAAAGGCGAAGAAGAAAAGTACATCCATCTCTAGTTAGTGTACAAGAAGAATTTTGATGTCGAAGGCATAGAGCCTAAAAAATAAATTTAAAAAATAAATTTAAATAAAAAATAAACCTGTAAAGTTGCTTGAACAATTGGTCGAAGTAATTGATTTCTAATTGAAAAATATTCTTGTTCACATTCTGAAACGATTGTTTGATATTCTGGATATGTAGCAAAAAATTGAAATGCTTGTTGGAATGCATTTCTTTAAAAAATATTAATTTATAATAAAGAAATATACTCTAAAATATATTAAAAAATAAAAAGGAAGGATGAGGGGTGTTAAAAAATTGAAATAACCGTAGAAAGTTAAAATTTAGTTTAGCACCATTTTAGAATAATTGACATGATCAGGCCCGTAGCCAGGATTTTTGCCGAGCGGGAAAAATTTTGAGAATTTTAGAAGGCCGTAGGCCAAAAAAACTTTTTTTGCCCAATCCTCTCCCAAATTTTTCCTTCTTCCCAATTCGGGGGGGGGGGTAGAATTCCCCTCTCCCTGGCTACGGGCATGGACATGATTCGAAACTCATTAATTTCCTTAAAATTCTCCTGAAATTTTTTGTATATTTAAAGATTACATAGTTATTTAAATTTAAAATATACCTAATAGCATTAGCCTTTACTCCAAATATTCCATATAACAAAGCGAAAGTATCATCGTTATCCACACAAGATAAAATTCCTGGACGTCCACTTCCATCTTGTGAAGGAGTTGTAAATCTTTAGAAAAACAATTTTAAAAAATTAAAAAAAAAGAAAAACCTTGATTGTCTATAAAGAACATCTTGCCGACAAGATTCTAAATCAGCCAATACTCCAGCCTTTATGGCTGTTAAAGAACTAAAAAAATTTTTGGTTAAAAATAAAATTAAAAAAATAACCGGCTAAGGCATTGTTCGTATTTATGAATATATTGCTCTGCTTCATTCTGTTCTGGATGTGCACGTAAATAACTAATACATTCGTGTATTGTTGAAAGAATTTGTGTGAATAAAGTGCCGGTTAATGATAATTTTGGTGTAGCTAATTTCTGAAATTAACAAAAAATTAAAGAAAAGAGAAATCCAAGGATTATTTAAACATGATCTGGAATTCAGGAAGAGACTCATTTTTAAATTTTTTTGGAAAGAATAAAAATAGCTAAAGAACTGGAAGAACAAATTTAAAAAAATTAAGGATATTAAATAAATGTTACATGCTTCAATTTTTCAAACAAATTTTTAAAAAATTCATCAAGGAAGAAAAATTGATTGATCTTTCGGAACAAAACCCCTCGGATTTAGACGGACATAAGTCCAAAAACTCTATACAAACCCCCCAATTAAAAAAATTACTTTAAGTAGCCAATCGTATTGTTGATAATAATGAAGACTGGCACTAATTGATTCATTTGCAGTAGCTAGTTGTGTTTGTTCTGACATCATTCTATCACAAGCATCGTGTAAAGATGAAGTTTTGTCAGTTACAGAATTATATTTTTCTCCCAATTCTTTAAGTATCTTTTTAAAAAATCTTTTAAAAATCAGAACCATTTAAAGAAAACCTGTTCACATTTTTCTCTTTTTTCTTTTAAATTTTTTAATTTTAAACTGCAACGTTGTAATTGAATTAAATAATCATCCCAACTTTCATTTTGTAATAAATCATTATTTAAACCAACATCGAGTTCAAATTGCCCAACAGATTTTAAAGAATTTAAAAATTCTTCACTAGCAAAATTAAAAGTCTTCTTCTCAGAATTATCCTTATTTAAATTTTCATTAATTTCTTCAAAAGGATAATTTGACGCTTTTTCTTCTAGTAATTCTAGTGTTTTTTGACTTAATTGGGCAAACATAATTTACTTTAATTTAATTAAAGCTGATAGAAAATCCAAGAAAATCTGCCAACAAGCAAAAAATATCAGCTGTCAACGCTCTTTGATCGCCAAAGTTGAGTGTGGAGGAATAATAGGCCGTTTGAGAGCCGAACTGCAAGTAAATAATTTTGGTACTACGGCAATTTGAGAGAATTTTAGGTAATTAATTCACAAAATTTGTTTATTTTTAAAAGGAGTCCTAAATTCATTTAATTTTTTTCAGTTTATACAAGGTGCTTTTTTTAATTTAATAGAAAAATTGTTGGTAATTAAAAAAACTCTTTAACATCCTTTCCCCCCAAAAAGCAATTTACTCATAAAATCAAATACATATTTAAAAAAATTTAGTGAAAAATAAATTTAGAATAAAAACACAGAATGAATAATTTTTTTAGAAAATATTCTGAAAACTTTCTAAACTTTAAATTTCAATAAAATTTAGGAATTTTATATTTTTCATTCTGTGGTCATAAAAAATAAAACATGTTTTGTAAAATATATGTACATTTTATGTTGAAGTGTTTTAATTTAATTTTAAATTCTAAAAATACGTTTTTATATCTTTTGAAATTTTTTCAGTTAAATTCAATTTTTTACTTCAACATTAATAAAAATTGTTAAAAAATAATAAAAAAATATAATGTCGAACTCCATTGGGTTTGTTTGAATAATTTGTACAATTTTTGGGAATCCAAAACTTTAAAAATTTTGTTTTCTTTAAATAAATTTGAGGGGTAAATAATCACTTGCTGGAATTACTTTAAAAACTTAAAATAAAATCGGATCTGTCGTTTTGTTTTACTCATCAGCACATCCATCCTTACAATCTTTTTTCTCAGTTATGCATTTCAGCATTAAAATTTTCAACTTTGCCGCGCATTTTTCCAGAATTATCCTTCTCAGCTTTGAAGTATGTTGCACCAACTTTTATTTAAAATTAATGATTCTCTGAATAAATAAATTACCATTCATTTTAGCTTTGAATTTCCCATCTTCTTCAACTTCTTCACTAAATTCGTGGGCATTTTCAAAATTTTCAATCATTTCCTCATCACTGCTTAAAGAACTAAAATCAGAGTTAAAACGTTTTCCACGGTGCGATTCTTTTCCTTCACGATGGAATTCTTTGTCTATAAATTTATTTAATTCAAATCATATTAAAAATAATTGTTTAACCTTTATCTGCAGAGTTAGATGGACAAAAGAAGTAATGAGTTATGAAACAGAAGGCATGTTTGAATTTATCCATAAACCAATGGCTTTATAAATTATAATAAAATTTAGTAAGTGATTAATGTGAGGGATTATAAAACTACATAGTATGTATTTAATTCTCAATCCAAACCTTTTGTGTTCCTTTTCCTTAGGTGTTTTCTTCTCTTCTTCAACAACCTCTGGAACCTTTTTTTCATTCTTTACCTTCTTCTCTTCCTTATTTTCTTCTTCATTCTTGGCACCTTTTACTTCAACTTTTTCTTCCTCTTCTTTCAAATCTTCAACTTTCTCATCATTGTTTGTTGATTTAATTTCCTCTGTCTTCACAGGCTCATTGCTAATTTTATCTTCCTCTTTTTTTGTCTTTTCGTCCTCTAAAACTTCTTTTTCATCAACTTCTTCATTCTTGTTTTCAGTTGCTTTCTTTTCTTCTTCCTCAACATCTTTATTGTTTACTTTATCGGTCTCAAACTCTTCCTCATTCGTTGTCTCTTTACGATCCTCGGAATTTTCCTGTCCTTTAGTTGAATCTATCACCTCTTCTGGTGAATTAACTTCTTTTTTTATTTCCACAATTTCATGACCTTCGGCCGGGAATGTTACTCCATTTTCTTCTTTTTGATTCTTTTCTTCTAGGGAAGCATTTTCAATACTTTTAGCTGGTTTCACACCAGCTTCGAGACCTGTTTGAATAGAAAATTAGAATTCACGTGTGGATTTTAAGTTGGATTTCTATTATTAAAAAAGCAACGAAACTTACTAGTATTCTCTTCAGAGTGTTTAGCTTCAGTAAAATTGAAAGCTAACAACAACATTAGGCCTATAAGGCTCTTTCTAAACAGATTTTCTTTCATTTACGCAATAAAAGTTAGTTGCCTTTTTTGGGAAGTTTTTTAAGAAAAAATTTTTAAATGAAGATGTTTAGCGTTAGACCCTCTAATTTGAATACCCTTTAAAAGGGGCGTTTCTTTAGAAATGTATAACTCTTATAGATGTTGGGAAGTGATAAGAGAAGAGATTGAAGGTAAGGGATGGAAAGAAAATATAGATTGATACGTGGATTTTAAACATTCGATTAATCAGTCTTATCCTCTAAACAGGCATTTTGGCCATAGAGTAGAGGGAAATGGAGAGGGATGTGTAGAGAAAGAAGGCAATGCCCGAAGAGAGAGGTTTCTCCATTACCTCTCTCTCTCTAAGAGGGCAACATCTCCCTCTTCTCTTCACTCTACATTAAATTCATATGTCCAAAATTTCAAAATCCAATCACGACTTCCCACATCCTCAATAAAAAATTGATAGCCTTGCGCATGATGAAAGAGCATGTGCCTTTTAAAAATTGATTTTTAATAAATAAAAGTGCAAGTTTTTATTTTTTAATTAAATTTAATTTATAAAAAATAATTAAATTATATTTTTTAAATAATTTTGAAGACTGGCATTCTTTCTTTATTCACGCCGGGAATTTTTGCCTAAAGTCGGAAATCATTTTTCTCAAAGGTCTGAAAATTTTTGAAATTCTGAAAAGGATTTTCGACTGACTTAATTTCCCACCAACAATTTTCTGTTACTTCTTTATTTTCATCCTTCATCTTATTCTTAAACAACTTGGAAGCTTTAACGAACTGTTAAAATGTCATCCACTATGCTAAACTTGCCAGGACAGGCACTCAAAAATTATTAAAAATTCTAGTTAGTGAAGGCTAATCTTCATACGCCAGTTTACCTGCATTGAACTGTTAAATCGAGGTTACATCGAATTAACCTTCGAATATCAATTTTTGACAGAATTTTGCGGTGAAATTTTAACTTAATTTAGAAAGTGGTTTATTTAAAAAAGAAATCTTTATTTAAAATAAAAAAAGAATAATAATTTTAAAAATTAAATAATATACATATAAACAAAATTAAAATAATTTTCAAATTAATCTAATTTTTTTATTTGTTCATTTAACTCATTTGAGTATTTGATAAAGTATCGTCGGCAAGAATGCGTTTTAATGTTGGAAATGAAGACCGTGCACATTTTCTTTAAAATTTTATTTAAAATTAATTAATTTATTTATTTCTACCTAATCTCTGCATGTCTCCACAAATAAATATATAAATTAATTCCGGCTCCGAATGGAGTCAAAAAGCCTTGAATATAAGTAACTGTATTGATTCTGGAACGATTTCCATAGTCGGTAACCTTTATAAAAAGAATTCTTTTAGAAATGGAAATTTGTGTTTAATGAAAGGAAGATGGGAGGTGGTCTTTAATGTCTTTATTTTATTTTAATTTTAAAATAAAATATAAGAACTAACAAATTAATATAAAATTCTTACAATGAAAAGGAACCAAATAGCTGTTGGAAATGCCCAACAAATTGTATAAATTAGCAAAATTAAAGCCACTAAAAGGGTTAAACGCATTTGTTGTTTTTGTTGTTGATTCTGATTTGTATTTAAATTTACATTACTTTTCCTTTTTGCTTCCCAAGAATTTGTTGTAGTATTGTTGGTTATAGTGTTTAAATTATTTACAACAGGGCTATTTTCTCCATTTATTTGAACCATTTGTCTAGGTGATGGAGCAACTTGGGTTATTTTTGTTTTTGTTGTTGTGCTGAGGAAACGACGATTTTGTCGGTAGAAGAGAATAAGCATTCCAATATATGTACCTATTAAGATTAAATAAAATTAGAGATTATTGACTGGAAATTTGAAAATAATTGTGAGGGATAGAAGAATAATTTTAGGGGAATGAAGTGATATAAGTAACGGGTATTGTTTAATAAACGCCAATTGTTAAAACAAACTTAAGAACGATCCAACTGTTTAATAATCCCCAATTGACCCCCTCCACCCCTCCAACGGGAGATATTTTAAAATAATTCTCCTACAGGACTTACTAAAGACAGAAAATGTAATAATCTGCGCGTAGATAGACCAAATTGTGGCAAAAAGAGGGCCAGCATTTGCTCCCATAGAGCATTGATGTGAAGGTGTTGATTCATCTATTCCCCATAATGAGATGAAAACAGCGCCAATAAAGATTTGAATAATTAGAAGATAACAAGTGTAGATGAATGGCTAGAAGAAAATTTTTTTATAAATATAATGGTTTGAAGATAAGATTTTTGGGAATTTCGTAAGGATATTGTTTTGAATAAATCTTAGACACCCAATCTCGAATAATGTAAAAAAATCATTTTCTTCATAATGATGGAATTAAAAGAACTTGCGAGAAATAATAGGAATAATGGATAAAAAATGATTTTTGACAAAAATTTTGAATTTATTTATTTAAAAAATATTCACTTTATTTTTCTTTCCATAAGAAAAAGGTCTAGCAACAGCAGTCAGTCGATCCAAAGCCAATCCCAAAATTGTTACTTGATTAGCTGCAAAGCCTCCAGTCAAAGGAGAACCAATCCAAACACAAAGAGTATGGGTGAATGAAGTTAAAGAAACAGCTGAAGTATAGATTTCAAATGTTCCACGGGTTGCTAGTCCAATACCTTTTTAAGTAAATTAATTAAAATAAATTTTTAAATATTTCTTATTTACCAATAATCATTTCAATAACAGCATTTGCAGCTATTAGCAAATTACATTGGGTATTTCGAAGAGAACGGTGTCTAGAAAAGATTAAAATTGGATGTTAAATTTTTTTCCAAATTCTTCTTCCCTCCAAAAATTACCTAATAAAAAGAAACAACAAAAATCCATTAGACAAAATCACATTTAAAGCTATTAGATAACGTAATAAATTCATGACAAGAGAAGAGTCTAATTGCTGTAATGTTGATACTGATGTTGTTGTATTTGTGGATGACATTTTATTTTTAAATAAAAATATTCTAAAAATAAATATTTATTCTTTTTATTTAAAAATAATTCTTTATAAATATATTTATTTAAAATAAAACTTGGTAGAAAGAAAAGTTTTTTATAAAAGAACCAAAAATACCTAAATGGAAATATCTTTATTATTTTTTAAAATATTTTTTTCTGTTTTCTCACGAAATTGCAAGAAAATAAAAAAATATAACGATAAAAAATTATTTTTAAAAATATTTTTTATTTTTGTAGTTTGTTTTAGAAAATATTAAGAGAGGGGAAAGGAAATTAAAGTTTAAGCTTCATTGGCCTTTAATATTTTTTTGTATTTTTCCGTGAGAAGGTGACATTTTTTGTTTAAAAAACGGATATGAACTTGGCAACATTTAATAAATACAGTAGAGGAAATGATGATATTTAACTAAAAATAACCTTAAAAATAATGGAAAGGTATAAGGGGGTAAAGTACTTGGTTGGTATTTAAATCGGATCTTTAATTGTGATTTTAAAAGAATTAATCCAAAATGGAATCATTTACTCTTTTTAAGTTTCCCAAACTTTAAATATCCCTCTAAAAATTATTTTTATAAGAAAATTAAATTAATTCAAATTCCAAGTTCAATAAATTAAATAAATTAACAGAATAATTGCAAAATAAATTTGCAAAAAAAAGTTGTCAGACTTTAATTTAATTTAGGTAAAGTTTTCATTGGATCAAAAATAAAATTTATTTAATTTAAAATTATATAATAGAACATTTCTTATTAACAAAAAAATTTTATTTACGTACACAATTTTATTACATAAATTTAATATTTAATTAATTTAAAGAAAAAAAGCTTATAAAAAAACTGAATACGTTAAATAAATATTAAAAAAATTAAACAATTATTTATTTATTTAAAGTTTTAAATGCCAAGCAAGCCGAGCATTTTAATTAATTAATTATTAAATTAAAAAACATATGTTTTTTAATTGAAAAATATATTTAAAAAAAAGTTTTAAAAATATTTAAAAACAATTAAAAATGCTAAAAATAAAACATACAAAAATGTTTTTCTGCACGAGATTGGATTTTTTAAAATATGAGATTCGATCTTATACAAGTTGCCCCGAATGTGAGTAGGGGAGGGGGACTCGGGAATTTAAACTAAAAGTTATACTCAATATCATAAATATTTGGTGACATACTGCTAAATAAAGTCATTACTGGTATTTTGATAAAAAAATATTTTGTTTGCTTCATTTTTGAGATGTTGATGTTAAATTATAACCGTTTTGTTGAAGGTGGTGGGGGGGGGGGGTTATAATCAGAATTAAGACTTTATTTAAAAAATAAATTTTAGAATTGTTTAGACCTCTTTTCGGAATGTTAAAAATTGCTAATTGAGGTTTAGGTATTTATCAAAATATTTTAAAGACCAGCAGCTGCAAAATTTTTTTTTAAAACAAAAAATAAAACAAAAATTAATTAAATAATTAAAGTAACCAATTTTAAATTATTTTTGAATATATTTATTGTTAATTATTGAATTTATAATATTAAAATAATAAATATGGGGGATTAAAAATTAACAAATTTTAGCATACACATTTTAATAAATGCAACATTAATTTAATTTTTGAGTTTATTTATACCAAAAAAAATAAATATAAAATTGTATTTTGAATTAAAAATTGAAGGTTAATAATTAAAAAATACAAAAAATAAAATACAAAAATTTAAAAATGGGACAAAATGTCCAAAAATTAATTTAATGAGGATTAAAAAGGAAAATTTAAAAAAAAAAACAAAATACAATTTTTGACAATTTCTAAGAAGTTTAAAGCAAGAATGAGGAACTTCGGAAGAATAAAAATCTTTTAGGAATTAATTTTTCAACAAAAAATTATTTTAGGAAATAAAATTTAATAAAAAATTGGCGTGCTAATTAATTGAAAATAAAAAAGAGATTTAAAAAAATAAAATATTTATTTAAAAAAATTTAGTGTCTCCAAAAATAATAAATTTTAATTTTAATTAAATTTAATTTTAATCTTTTTTCCATAATTAGAAAATTAAAAAAGTTTTGAAAAAATATTTTTTAATTAAAATTTAATTTTTAAATATTTATTTTATTTCTTATATTAAATTGAACAATAATTAGAATATTGAGTAAATTTAAAAATATATAACTCTCCCCCATCTCCGGCCCTACAAATTAAAATCCATGTATAATAATTAGAGCCAGGATTTTTAGGCAAATGCCTATTTTTTTCCTAGATAGGCCTGATGCTGAAACGTTCAAATCCGGTGTTATTTTACTGAAATCTGCTTTCTAACAACTTTTATCGTTGCCTAAAATTGCCTATTTTAACTTTTTCTGGAAAAGTGCCCTATTATGCCTTTTTTCAGCCTATTTTAGATATTTTTACTAAAAAGTGCTAATTTTTAAGCATTTTTTGAGAAAATTCTTGTCTAAAAAAATTTTTTTCTGGAAAAATATAAAATTTTTCCAAAAAATTTTTGTCAAAAAATTTTTTTGGGAAAAATTTTCTTCTCAAAAATTTATCAAATTATTTTTGGAAACAAAATAGTTAATATAAATTAATTTATATGTAATTCTGATCGTCAAAATCAATTTATTTAACATTTTATTGCTTAGATTTATCTTTTTTGATATAATTTAGTCAATTTAAAGCAGAAAATCTCGAAAAAATACTGCCTATTTTGCCTTTTTATCGAATTTTAGTGCCTATTTTGGCAGTTTTTTAGTGCCTATATAGGCGCCTATTTTTAACTTAATCGTGCCTAAAAATCCTGGCTCTAATAATAATCTTCAAAATTCAAGGAAGAATATAAATAAAAAATGTCTGATATAATTTAAATTTTTTGGCTCAATTTCCTCAAATACTTAATTTCACTCATCTTTAATTCAATAAATTCTTTAAATTCAAAATTCCAATAATTTATTAATTTATTCAAAATTTTTGCTAAAACTAAATTAATACAAATAAAGTTATTTTTGTAATTCTTTTTTTAAAAATAAAAATTAATCTTCTTCTAAATTTTATATCCAAATTTTACAAATTAACAATAATTATTCAAGCGTAAAATAAGACGAATTATAGTTCTCGCAATATTAGAGACACCTAAAATTAAGCAACGAAATCTCCTCTACGAACAAAAATATTTTTAGTGTTTGTAATTAAAATAAATTAATAAAGATTAATTTTAAATAATTATTTATATATTTATATGAATTTAAATTTGAACCAAAATATTTTAAAAAATAAAAACTTTTTTTTGAAATTAATCTTTATTTGAGAGAGAATTTTTAAACAATACATAATTTACTAAAAATTTGTTTACAATTTTATTTATGTTAATAATTCTATAAAATAACAATCTAAATAAAATATTATTTTTATTTTTAAAATAACTTTTAAAAAATTCTAAAAATAATTTTTTTCTTTTTTAATTTTTAAAAATAAAAAGAAAAAAATAATTTTTAATTTATTTATAAATTTTTAATTAATTAATTAAATGTCACAAGGTTTTTCTAGAATTAAATAATTTGTGTTTATGTATTTCTAATTTTTAGAGAAATTTAGTGAATTAAATAAACAAACACAACATTTTAAAAGTTTAATTGTTTTGTTTAAACAAAAATGTTTTTAAAAATGTTTGTCCGATTTTTGGTGTTTATTTAAAAATGTTTTTTGTTTGTTTATTTTTAAGTATTTGGATTAGTAAATGTTTTGTCGTGTAGAATTTGCTTCAAAAAGGGAATTGTATCTCGAGCACTTCTTCTAAAATAATAATTTTAACATTAAATATTTTAATTTAGTAAATTATTTAAAAAAAGGTAATAAAATATCAAAAAAATGCCAAATATGAAATTTAATATTTAGAAAAAAATAATTTTCTTTGTTTCCACCTTTGAACAAAGAAATAATGAGTAAAGTGTTGAATAACTTGTGAAAATTATTGGGGAAAAATAAAAATATTTTAATAAAAAAGATGACGTTAGTTTAGGTAAATGTTAAAAACAAAAGAAATATTAAATTTTCTTAATATTTAGCATTGTGTATTTTTAGGAGAATTAAGTAAATAAATAATTGAAAGAACAAAGGAAACCGGAAAGGAACTGGAAAGTAAATATTATTTTAATATTTTTTGACTAAATTTTTAAATTATATTTACCTAATTTCTGCATGTTTCCATATATAAATATATAGATTAATGCCTGCTCCTAATGGGGTTATAAATCCTTGGATGAATGTAACGTAATTGATACGAGTGAGATCTTTTGGGTCCAAAACCTAAAAAGTAAATATAAAATTTTAAAAAAATTAATCGAGATTATTTGCATATATTTTAGCTATTTTAGATTTACTACACCTTTATACTCCATTTAAAGAGACTAGATTAACTCTAATATAAGGAAAACATATAGTTAATTATCTGGATTATTTCAGAATAATCTAAATAAATTTATCAAGATAGGTTCTACAGATCTAATTTCTAGTCTTGGAAACAATGAGAAAACCCTAATACCTGCCACTAAAATAACTTTTATCGTTTAAAAATTCCCACATTAAAGAAAAACCAAATGGCAGTTGGAAGGGCCCAACAAATACTGTAGACAAGAAGAATTAACGCTACCAATATTGTTAACTAAAAAATTAATTTAAATTATTTAAAAAATTATTTTTACTTTAATTTGTTTTTGTGTTTTTTGAAATTCTTTATTTTGATTAGCCTTATTTCTAGCAATAACTCCAATATCTCCAGGTTTTTGTTGCAGTTGCTGTTGTGTAATTTTATTCATAGACAAAGAAAGTACTTTACTTTGACGATAAAAAAGACAGAGCATTGTTATATATGTGCCTAAAAATCATTTTGAAACATTTCTTCCCAAATTTTAAAAATTACCAAAAACAAATAAAGCTGTTAATTGTGCATAAATAGACCAAGTTGTAGCAAATAAAGGTCCAGCATTTACGCCCATAGAGCATTGGGAAGAGGTCCCTGGGTCTATCCCCCAAAGCGACACTCCAATAGCAGCGAAGAAAATGAAAAAAGCAAAGGTGAAGATGGCGGCAATTAAATTCTGAATTAAATTTTGGAAATGTTTGTATTTTCTTATTAAAATTATTTATTTTATAGGCTTGTGTATTATGTACTCCTAGTCCCCCAATGATTATTCAACTCTTGTTCCGGCAATTAAGAAATATCTGTAGAAATATTTCTCATAAGACCCCATAGGCATCTGAATAATTGTCTTACTTTATTTTTCTTTCCATATGTGAATGGCCAAGCAACAGCAGTCAGTCGATCCAAAGCCAATCCCAAAATTGTTACTTGATTCGCTGCAAAGCCTCCAGTTAAAGGAGAGCCAATCCAAACACAAAGAGTATGGGTAAATGAATGAATTGACATCGACATGGCAATTAATTCAAAAGTGGCACGTAGAGCCAGACCTATTCCTAAAAAGTTTTTTTAAGTATAGAACCGAATCTAGATAAGCAGTATTTTTATCCGCTAGTGAAAAATTAAATTATAAGAACATCCGAAAATTATTTAGCTAATATACCTAGATCAAAAATTCTGAAGAAAATATTATATTTAGTATGTCCTTTCCTGCATACCTTTAACTATAAATTTAAGAATTCCAAATGTTTATTTGTAAATCTTATAATCTTAATAATTATTAACCCCTATCAATTTTCGTTAATAATTTAATATAATTTAATATACCTATAATAAATTCAACTGCCGCATTTGCTGCTATAAACAAATTGCATTGAGTACCTCGCAGAGCTCGATACCTTTTATATCTTTTTATTCATTTTAAATAAAAATTAAATTATAAAATTACACCTAGCAAAAAGATAAAGCAAAAATCCGTTTGTAAATAAAGCATTTAAAGCAATTATATAGCGAAGTAAATTAATAGCCGTAGAAGAGTCTAATTCTTGTAATGGAGTTTTGTTTGGTGGTGGGATTGTTGAAGACATTAAATCCATTTAATAAATCTTTTATAAAATTAACTAAAGATTTAAAGTTTCTCGAGACCTCTCTCCGTCACCGATTCTTCACTAATTTAATAAAAATTCTCGTTCCGGAGCTTCGAGGATTTCCCTGGATACGTCACCCCCTACCCTAAAGTTAGTTAAGTTTAAACCAATTATTTAAAAAAAACTTTCTTTAATTAAACAAAATAATTTTATATATTCTCTTATTAATAATGTAAGTAAAATAAAAATAATATTATTTCTAAATTTTCTATTTTTATAATTTGCTAAGTTTTGGTATTTTTGTTTAAATATAAAATGAAAAACTCGTGAGATATTATTAAATATTATTTAAATATCTCTTATAAAAACATTTCTTAAGAAGCAAATAACATACCTAAATATAACAGAAACTACAAAAATATGCTTAAATAAATATTGTTTTGTATTTTTTATTATTAATGTTTTTTAAGAAAAATGTTTTTAAATATACCTAAGCTTATTTAATGTTAAATAACAATAAAAAGGTTTATTAAAAAATATTTTTTATAGAGAAATATAGTAGGTAGTTGTACGTATGTACATCCAATTTCTTTTAATTTTTTTCCATGTAAAACATTATGAAAAATCAAAAAATTTTATTTAAATAATTAAACAAAAGTTTAGAAGCAAAATGTTAAAATTTACGTTATATAAAGGTGTTAAAAAGAATTTAATTAATGAAAAATTATTTTCTATGACGGTTAAAAAATTCTAAATTTGGAAAATTATTTTTGTTTAAAAATTTGGTTTAAATTTATTTTGCTAAAAGCTGTTTTTTGATGAACAGGTGATTGAATACTTTGCATTTTTGCAAAGAAATATTTTTTGGAAAATTTGATAAATTTTTAATTAAGAGTTATTTTAAGCCTAAATTTATAGAGAAATTTAGATTAGAACTGAAATCAAAATTTAAAATACTAAATGCTTAAATGATTATTGTTTTTCAACTTTTATCCAAAAAACTTTTAGCAAATAATGAAAAGGATATAGATACATATATATTTAAATATTATCTCCTTATATTTACCTAACTTTTCGTTTTGTTCAAATATTCCTTCAATTGTGGAAGTGAATAGATACGCTTAGAATGATCAGCCAATTTTGGATATTTAGCCATTATATCCTTTTCCATTTTAGTCATCGTTTCAATAAAGTGAGCAACAGAAAAGTCAACAAAACTTAATCCAGAAGGCAAAATAAAACCAGAATTGGACTCTTCCAAACGTTTTTCATAAAAAGGAAAATATTTTTCAATAGCAGGCAGAAAAACATCTTTTCGAAGTTGTTCCTATAAAATTATTAAATAATTTATTCAAATTGATTAAATTTTGATTGTTTTTTACTTTTGGAATTGTTTTTGTATTTTTTTCCTTCTCAACAGGGGTGGATCGGAACAGTCAGAGGTGTCGGAAATCGGAAAGAAAAAACGTCGGAAATTGGAAGTCGGATATCAACTCTGCTTCTCAAGAAAATTACCCATTTTGCCTCTCATTAATTAAATAAAAAAATTTTACATATTATTTTCTGAATAACCAAAGTAATAGAAATTAATTTTTCCTTAATTATTTAATAAATTAATTAATGGGAGAGGAAAAGGGGAATACAAAATATTTATTTATTAAAAATACCAAATTTCCTTCACTAAATCCAAATTTTACTCCAATATATGGACCTATTGGAACCCTCATTTCGTCATAAAGAAAAAATATTTCCATTGCTTTTGCCTCTTCCCATTCATTTTTGCCTGCCAAATCTGGGAAAACATTATTTTTGAAAAATAATTTTTTGAATAACCAAATTTTTTGCCCAAAAATTGCATAATAGCTCCAGTTTGTGCTAATTGTTTTCCATCTACTTCGAGTAATGGAACTTGTCCAAATGGATATTCTAAACGAAAAATTAACTTAAAAATATTATTCTTTAATTTACTCGATTTAACTGCCGGCCATTCCTCTTTTTTAATTCGGTAATCTTCAAAAGACTGTCCCTTGTAATTAAAAAGTAAACGAATTGGTTCACCTTTTGCAGGTAGGTCAAAATAATGTAATTTGTAATAAACCATTTTTAATTAAAAGACATGAAAATACAAAACTTATTAAGATAGGAAAAATATCGATAACAAAACAAGAATCAAATTAAAGTCTGGTTTTGTAGGACTTGTATAAAAATAAATTAAAAGTGAAATGAAAGGTTGTTTTGATTTTATTAATTTGTTGATTTTATACTAAAAATTACTTAAATTGGCTACAAAAATAGAAATATTTATTTTGTCTGTATTTTTGTTATTTTTGTTTTTAAAACGAGAATTTTTAGAGAAAAAGGAATAAATATAAACGTTGTTGTGTTTAGTGAACAAATGTGAAAAAAGGAATTAGAAAAATAATGGGGGTGGTACGGACTGGACCGATTAGGAAATTCTCTCTAATTTATTTTTCCTCTCTCTCAACAATTTTTATTTCTCCACATAATTTTCTTTTAATTGTTCTGATATTATTTAATTTGGAAATGAAATCCATTATGAAAAACAAAATTTTTAAAGTGGGGTTTATAATTTTGTTACACCTATATTTCATATAAAATACTAAAAAATAAAAAAAAATTTAATTAATTTTGCTCGAAATTAGATTTGTAATATTTGGTAACAATTTAGAATTTATTTATTCATTAGAACCTTATGAAATTAAAAAATTTTAGGAGCCTTTTTGGCGTCTAAATTTTTATAAATTTGGAGTTTATGAATCATAAAATTTTTTTTACATATAATAAATGTTCTCTAAACGACTTTAAGATTTTAAAGTTTTTGGATGGGCATACTAAAAGTTATGGTCAAAAAATTCGGAGTATTAAAATATTAAACAATTAAAAAAAGACTACATAATATTTAAATAATCTTTTCATATTTAACATTTTTTCTTGCTCAAATATTCCTTCAATTGAGGAAGCGAATAAATGCGCTTTGAAAAATCATTTAATTTTGGATATTTAGCCATTATATCCTTTTCCATTTCAATCATCATTCCGATAAAGTGAGCAACAGAAAAGTCAACAAAACTTAATCCAGAAGGCAAAATAAAACCAGAATTGGACTCTTCCAAACGTTTTTCATAAAAAGGAAAATATTTTTCAATAGCAGGCAGAAAAACATCCTTTCGAAGTTGTTCCTATAAATTGAAAATTAAAAAGAATACGTACATAATTATTAAACTAACAACATCGCCTTGACGAAATCCAAATTTTGCTGCAACGTATGGGCCTACCAAATATGCCATCTCATCACAGAGACAGCTTATTTCCATTGCTTTTGCCTCTTCCCATTCATTTTTGCCTGCCAAATCTAAAAAAAATTACAAAATTATTTTTATAAAAATAATTTTTTAGATAACCAAATCTTTTTCCCAAAAATTGCATAATAGCTCCAAATTGTGCTAATTGTTTCCCATCTACTTCTAACACTGGAACTTGTCCAAATATATAGTCTAAACAAAAGATTAAAATTTTCCAAAAATATTATTCTCTAATTTACTCGATTTAAGTGTTGGCCATTCCTCTTTTTTAATTCGGTAATCTTCAAAAGGCTGTCCCTTGTAATTAAACAGTAAACGAATTGGTTCACCTTTAGCTGTTAAGTCAAAATAATGTAATTTGTATTGAACCATTATTATTATTTTTTAAAAAGGCTGCTAAAAATGGTTACAAAAATTAAAACTAAAAGAGGAAAAACAAATAATTTTGTTCTCTAAACAATTTTTAAAAAAATTAATATTATTAATTTATTTTTAAATTAATATTTAATTTGTTGTAATATCCGACGATAATATTTTGAAAAGAAATTTCAAGCCTATGTCAAAAAATTTTTGGGGCAAGGAAGAAGGGTATTGAATAAAGCGAATACATATGAAAGCATAAGTAAAAATTTTTGATAAAATTTGAATTATAAAATAGACGGGAAATTGAAAAATGAAGAGGTTAGTAATTAGAAGAGATTTAGTAAGAATTTTGACCTCAAAAGCAAGTTAGTACAAATTAGAAATCAAATTTTTTTAAAGTGTCCTTCAATAGTAGAAATAAAACTATTAGAATAATTAACCAATTTTGGATATTTAAATTTAAATTCGTTTTCGATTTCAATCATCATTTTAATAAAATGAGCAACAGAAAAGTCAACAAAACTTAATCCAGAAGGCAAAATAAAACCAGAATTGGACTCTTCCAAACGTTTTTCAAATAAAGGAAAATATCTTTCAATAGCAGGCAGAAAAACATCTTTTCGAAGTTGTTCCTTTAAATTAAAATGCCGAAATAAAGTAGTGGACAAAAAAAACAGGGGCAGGGTATGTAACTTTCACATACACTTACCCTTATCTTTTTGTCCAATACAGTATTTAATTATTATTTTCAACAGACCACATCGCCTCCGTGAAATCCAAATTTTGCATCAATATAAGGTTCTACTGCATATCCCATCTCATCACAAAGACAGCTTATTTCCATTGCTTTTGCCTCTTCCCATTCATTTTTTCCTCCCAAATCTAAGAAAAATTTTACAAAATTTTTCTTTGAAAAATAATTTTTTGAATAACCAAATTTTTTGCCCAAAAATTGCATAATAGCTCCAGTTTGTGCTAATTGTTTCCCATCTACTTCTAACACTGGAACTTGTCCAAATATATAGTCTACACAAAATTGTTCAATGACCAATTCAAAAAATAATATTTTAAATTACTCGATTTAAGTGTTGGCCAATCCTCTTTTTTAAATCGAAAATCCTCAAATGGTTGTTTTTTATAATTAAAAATTAAACGAATTGGTTCTGCTCTTCCAGCTACGTCAAAATAATGTAATTTGTATTTAACCATTTTTGGCTTAATTTTTAAAAATTATTTTACCAGTTTAACTCTAAAAAGTAAATAAATTAATTTCATTTGTCTACAAATAAAATGTCTACAAATAAAATTTCTGCAAAACGGACAGCAACAGAGGCCAATTTTTCGCCTCTCTCCAATAATAGCAACAACAACGAAAATCCAAATTCTCTTAATTTTCTTATTGATTGTCAAGTCAATTTGGTGAAAACAACACTAACAACAATCAATACTTTTATTCCGTCTATGACAACAGAGCAAACTCCGATTTTATTAAACTTTATTAAAACTCTGACTGAACAATTTAACCTTCTTAGTAAATCAATCGATTCACTTAAAGAAAAACAACAAGAAAAACCTTATGGATATTTTTCAGGAACAACAAAATTAAACACTATTTCAGCAGAGGAGCTAGAGCGCGAAAGAAGTGTTGTTGTGACTGGTTTGACGGAATCTACAAAAAAACTTCCATCAGAGAAAATGGCGGATGACTCCAAAACAATAACAAGTTTACTCGACTCGGTGGGGGTTGAGTGCGCACCCAGGTTTTTTTACCGTATGGGACGTCAGTCTAACCCACCCAATAATGGTCATGCCCGTCTTTTAAAGATTGTTTTACCATCCAGAAAATTTCAGCGTGAACTTCTCAACAAATGGAAAACAAATGGCAAGAAATCTTTCCCCCAAGTCAATATGCGTGCTTCAATGACACCAGAACAATTACAGCGACGAAGGGAACTAATTGAAGAGTGCAAAAAGAAGAGAATGGAGAACCCTCAATTGGACTGGATAGTTTATGGAGAAGCAGTAATTCTAAGATCGGAGGTTCACATTTTTAGAAAAAATAAAAAAATCTGACTTCAAAAAAATAATCTAAATAGATTAAATACTATTAATTTTTTATATTTTAATTCAAGAAGTTTAAAAAACAAATTGTCAAATTTACACTTTCTGTTATTAGAAAACCGTTATAAGTTAATAGGGGTTACTGAATCATGGTTGACTGATATAGTTGATGATAATCTTTTACTACATGGTACCCCATATAATATTATCAGAACTGATAGGGCCAATGGTAGGGGTGGAGGAACTTGCTTATTTATATCAAATAAAATACCATTTATTAAAATAGAAATCCCCCAAACTTTATCAGAGATATCTTGTATAGATTTATTAACCCCAGATGAAAAAATTCGTATTATTTTGATTTATAGATCAATCACTAAAGAAACCATTAAGGATTTTAAATCTATCTTGCAAATCTTGTATGATATATCGGCTGTATCCTACCCACTTATCTTATTAGGAGACTTTAACCTACCCAATATCGATTGGGAAAATTATAGTACTCAAACCAAAAATACCAAAGAAACATTATTTTTAGAATATATTCAAAGTTTAGGACTAAAACAAAAAATTGATAAACCCACTAGAGGAGTAAATATATTAGACTTACTATTAACTAATGAGGATGAATTAATAAAGGCTATAACAATCAATCCGCCTATAAGTAAATCTGACCATAATACAATAGAATTTGAAATATCTTCTACTAACAATTACCAAGATAATAATTATACATATCCAAATTTTCGTAAAGCTAACTATGAAATAATTAATGCACATTTCTCAACAATAAACTGGAATCTAGTATTCACACAATGCTCTGATATAAATCAACTATATTTCACTTTCCAATCGATTATACATAATGTTATTTGTTCCTTTGTTCCCGAATCTAAAGTAAAATCTAACAATCTCAAAAAACCCGAACACATTGAAAAAATGACATTATATCTAAAAAATCTGTGGAAACAAAAATCCACGCCAGAGCTAACACGTAAAATCTCATATGTATCAAAAAGAATAGATTCTGAAACTAACAAATTTTTAAAAAATAGAGAAAAGCATAAAACACAAACTATCAGTCAAAAATTCTCATACATCTCTTCATTTCTTAAATCCAAAAACAGGAAAATAACTTCAATTTTGGATAAAAATAATCAATTAGTATACGCTGATAATAAAATAGCACAAATTCTAAGTACCCAATTTAGTTCTGTATTTAATAAAAATTCATTAGACAATGCAGATCTAAACTCTATAACAAATCAAAATACATGTCAATCCGTAATCATAAATGAACTTCAAATCTTTGATCTTCTTTCTAAGCTACCTGAAAAAACTAACTCTTCTTATGACTCAATACCATGTATATTCCTTAAAAAATGCGCTAAAAGTCTTTATTATCCTTTATATTATATTTTTTCTTATTCATTAATGACTTCAACACTTCCTGAAATATGGAAGCAAAGTATAATAATACCAATACCAAAAACATTAAAGATACCCAAAATAGAAGAATTTCGCCCAATTTCATTACTATGTTCAATCACAAAAGTAATTGAACAAATTATTGCAAACCATATATCAATTTATGTTGAACAAAATGGTATATTACCAGATTGTCAACATGGATTCAGACCAAACAAATCCGTCACTACCCAACTAATTGAGGTTCAAGATGATATATCATTTGCATTGGATAATAAAAATTTAATAAACATAGTTTATTTCGATCTAGCTAAAGCCTTTGATTCTATACCCCATGAACGTCTTTTAACAAAACTAAAAGTAATAGGAATTGAAAAATCACTCTTAAAATGGATCTCTAATTACTTACACAACAGAAAATCTGTTGTTAAAATAGGAAATGAATATTCTGAACAATTCTCTATTACTAGTGGAGTTCCGCAAGGATCTATCTTAGGCCCGCTCCTTTTTAATATATACTTATCGGACTTACCAACATTCTGTTACACTCCTGAAATAAAAATAAAATTATTTGCCGATGACATCAAAGCCTATCAAATTCTAAAAAAAACCGATTTATCTAACAATTCTTTACAATTATTTATTAATAAATTCATTCAATATTGTAACACCAATGGTCTCAACATATCATTAAATAAATGCTCAGTATTATATATAGGTAAATCAAACCCTAAATTACAATACTCAATAGGAAACCACAAAATATTCCAAATTAGTAATGAAGACAAGAATAGGGATCTCGGAATTTTCTTCACTTCTAAATTCAAGTTTAATAAACATATTCAAACAATATCTCTAAGGGCCAATAGAAACTGCTATGCATTAATTAAATCTCTAAAATCACAAGATCCTAAAATTCTTATAGAAGCATTTAATATATACGTAAGGTCAATTATAGAATTTGGGTCACCGGTTTGGAATTCTTTAACTAAGAAAAACATTAAATTAATAGAAAACATACAAAAACGATATTTAAGATTTGTTTACAAAAGAATCACAAAGGTAAAAATAGAAGATATTCCACCATACAAAACACTTTTACAACATTTCAAAGTAGAATCCCTTGAAAGTCGAAGACTTAAAGCTGATTTAAAGCTATTTCATCAAAATATATTTGGGAAAATTAAAATTAACCATAATAATTCCTATATCATAAAACAAACAAAAACTAGGGGCGAAAAATATAAAATACAACCAACACGTTGTTCAACCATGATTCGGTACAACTCCTTTTTTGTTCGAACTGCTAGAATTTATTCACTAATTCCTATAGAAATTAAAAAAAATACACCCAAAATGTTTTCTAAACTTCTTGAACAGTTGGATATTTCCAATATCTTAAATGACAAATGAGATAATTTTATTTGCTAAGCTGCTTTGATTTTTATTTTAAGGACATTTTTTATTAGCATTTTTATTTTTCGTAATTTCACTTTAAATTGTTTTATTTTTGACTGTCACACCCTAGTGGTGTAAATAAATAAATAAATAAATAAAAAAATTTGTATTTAACCATTTTTGGCTTAATTTTTAAAAATTATTTTACCAGTTTAACTCTAAAAAGTAAATAAATTAATTTCATTTTTTTCCAATTAAACAATACTTTAAGGGAAATTCTTTTTAAAACATATTATTCTTTTGGTTCTTTACCAATTCCTAATAATATCTGACAACTCTCGATATTATAACGAGAATTGACTTTAGTAAAAAAATAAATTTTTAGAATAAGACTTGTTCGGCAATGATTTTATTAAGAATAAGTTAAAAGTGAAATGAAAGGTTGTTTTGATTTTATTAATTTGTTGATTTTATACTAAAAAATTGCTCAAATTGGCTACAAAACTTGTAGTAAACTACAAAAATAAAAATATTTATTTTGTCTGTATTTTTGTTATTTTTGTTTTTAAAACGAGAATTTCTAGAGAAAAAGGAATATAAACGTTGTTGTTAGGAAAGAAATAATGAACGTGAATGTGAAAAAAGGAATTAAAAAATAATGAGGGTGGTACGGACTGGACCGATGCGGAAATTCTCTCTAATTTATTTAATCTCTCTCTCAACAATTTTTTTGGTACTTTTCCATTATCCCTACAAAACTTTTGCGGACTTTTTTTGCTGACGAATTTATGTACAGAAGGGGATTTTGCCTCCCCCCAGTCAATTTTTTGTTAAAGATGTACAAAATGGTTAGTGTAGATCTTACAATTAGAGGTCATTGAACTGAGTCGAATAACAATAGTATCAGTCTGTGGTATCGGTCTGTTTTGAGCTTTCTTTTATTTATCGAAAAAGAGTGGTAAAAATGTTTCAATATTTTGAGAAATATTTTTATTTTTCACAAAATTTTATTCATTAGGTCACATTATGTATGTATTTTGTATGTATATATTAATTCCCCAATTTTCAACTTCAATCAACAAAATAGCCACGTTTTTGCAATCTTTACTCATATTTTGGTAAATTATTATACTTCTTTACTTTTATAAATTTTTTCCATGTAAGTTAGAAGTATTTATTTAATGTCTATTTTTATGAAAAATAACTCTGTCAATATTAAGACAAATAACATCAAATCTCTTATGTATTGCCATTTAGCAAGTCTAATAATATTTTAATTATTAAGTGACTGCTTCAATCAACTTTTATCGATGTCACAATTATAAAGTGCCACATAATATTAAAATGATCTTTTCATATTTAACATTTTTTCTTGCTCAAATATTCCTTCAACTGGGGAAGCGAATAAAAACGAGTAGAAAAATCAACTAATTTAGGGTATTTAGCCATTATATCCTTTTCCATTTCAATCATCATTCCGATAAAGTGAGCAACAGAAAAGTCAACAAAACTTAATCCAGAAGGCAAAATAAAACCAGAATTGGACTCTTCCAAACGTTTTTCGTATAAAGGAAAATATCTTTCAATAGCAGGCAAAAAAACATCTTTTCGAAGTTGTTCCTATAAATTGAAAATTATTTTTTTTTGAAATATTGATGAACAAGTTTTATTTCTAACTGGATGGATTAGAGAAATCTTAGATTGATTAAGATATCCCCGAGTTGTTGTGAAGGAAAAGACTTTTACTCTCCAACTGTCTAAACATTATTTAAAAGAGAACAGACCACATTGCCTTCACGAAATCCAAATTTTGCTCCAATATATGGCCCTATTGCGACTCCCATTTCATCATTAAGGAATATTATTTCCATTGCTTTTGCCTCTTCCCATTCATTTTTTCCTCCCAAATCTAGGAAAAATTATTCAAAATTATTTTTGAAAAATAATTTTTTAAACAACCAAATTTTTTCCCCAAAAATTGCATAATAGCTCCAGTTTGTGCTAATTGTTTTCCATCAACTTCTAACACTGGGACTTGTCCAAATGTGTATTCTAAACAAAAATAAAATTATTCAAAAATATTATTCTTTAATTTACTCGATTTAACTGTTGGCCAATCCTCCTTTTTAATTCGATAATCTTCAAAAGGTTGCCCCTTGTAGTAGAAAAGCATACGAATTGCTTCAGCTCTGCCAGGCAGGTCAAAATAATGTAATTTGTATTGAACCATTATTTAATTTTTTTAAAAAGATTGTCAAAAATTCTTCAAAAATTAAAATTATATACAAATAAATAATCCTCTATAAGCGAGGACTTAATAGGCTGTTATAATGGATATTTGCTTTCTTGCGAGATGAGTTGAATAGCGTAAAAATCAACAAGAATGAATAAACCTTGAACAAGTTATGAGCGAATAACTAAACAAATAAACCGTAAAGGTAAGTAAATAATAAAGACAAGATCAGCTAGCCATTTGATCTGTTTGATCGTCCTAACTTGAGATTAACATCCATCTTATATTTATTAGACTAACATCATTCAATTCAACTCAGCAGGTTTTGTGTATTTTTACACATACTTCCATTAAACAGTGGGAATATGTGGAATAAAGTACACGCACCGACGAACTAGAGAATGATTTTAAAAAATAAAATGACTGGGATTTAATTGTTGATTTTATACTAAAAATTATTTATCTAACATAAAATTGTTACAAACTACATACATATAAATAAAAATATTTATTTTTAGTTTGTATTTTGTTATTATTACATTTTTGTTTTCAATAAAATGATAACAATTTTAGAAAATGTTGAGTGGTTAGGAAAGAAATGATGAACGTGAACAAATGTGAAAAAAGGAAATAGAAAATAATGGGGGTGGTACGGACTGGACCGATTAGGAAATTCTCTCTAATTTATTTATTCTCTCTTTCACGAATTTTATTTCTCCCTACAATTTTATTTGTTAGTTCACGTAAACATTTATTTTGGAGGTAAGTTTGGGCGCAAGAAAATTCAAAATTCACAGGGACATACTACATATACCTAAAAGTTATGACTAGCTTAATCTGTGCCACTAACATCACGATTGGTTTTAAGACATTTAATTTTAAATCTAAACTATAACATAAAATCTATAAAATTCTTATGCGCCTAAACAATGCTGCGCCTACATTCATATCTCTCATTTCATTCCCTCCTCCCCAATCAGCGTTAAAACAAAATAAAAGTAAACAAAAATATTTAGCCACGTCGACATAAAAAGTCTTTTCTTTATTTCGCAATCTTTACTCTTCACATATTCTGATAAATTATCTTTTTTATTTACTTTATAAATTTGATATTTTAATCAAATAAATCATTTGTAGTTTGTTAAAAAGATTTGTAATTAATAAATATTTAAATTAATTTCTTTGAAAAATAAATTAATTTTATTGGCGTTGTGTAATAATTATTGAAAAATGACATTTAATCCAATTTTTCTGTTCCGTTTCTCGGGACACGCCCTCCTTGTCGCGGGCCACCTTGTCGCGACCACCTTGTCGCGACCACCTTGTCGCAGGCCACCTTGTCGCAGGCCCACCTTGTCGCAGGCCCACCTTGTCGCAAAGGTTGGAAATTTTTTATGCTGATATGGAGGGTAGGAAAAAGGCCTTCTGGGCACGATCGGGGTTTTCTGGAGTAATTTGGATCGGTTTTACTCTGTTAAAACTCCGGTAGACTTTAACCGGATAAGAGAAAGTAATAAAAGGAAAAAAACACTCCTGGAAATCAACTAAAAAATAAAAAAAAACCTAGAAAACAAAATAGAAATTCTAAACCTTCCATATTTCCAATCGTTGTAGCCGTGGGATGAAGTACGGCACGTGGCGAGTGAAGTTTAGGCCAGCCTTGAAATAAAAACCAAAGGAAAGCCTGCGACAAAGTGGCCTGCGACAAGGTGGGCCTGCGACAAGGTGGGCCTGCGACAATCTGGGCCTGCGACAAGGTGGTCGCGACAAGGTGGTCGCGACAAGGTGGCCCGCGACAAGGTGGGCCGTACCCCCGTTTCTCCTTTCTTAACGTTAAAAGGATTTCTTGCGGGATTTCTGTTGCCATGAGGAACAAAATAACTTTAAATTTGATTTCTCACGTTATTGGGTTATTTTAATTTGAAATAGTTTTGTTTTTACATTACAATGAACAATTCCTTCATTTTCCCTCATTTTTTTCCTCGTTAAATTTTCTTTATTAAAAATTTAATTTTTTAAATGCAGCGTTATCGAACAAAATCTTCATCTTCTCAAAATAGTGCAAAAAAGAAAATAATATCGAAAATGACTTCTGGACAAGCAAAAATTGGAAAACTTGCTCCTGAATTCACAACTGATGCTGTTGTTGATTCTGACTTTAAGACTGTTTCTTTGTCTGACTACAAAGGCAAATATGTTGTGCTTTTCTTTTATCCGCTTGACTTGTTTGTTTTTTTAATTTAAATTTATTTTTGAATAGGACTGGGTATTTTCTATTAGGGGGTTTTTAATTCTTTAAAATATGAGGTCTGACATTTTAAAACTTTTGCCCCTGTTGTTATAAAATTGCAGTCAGAGACTAAAATTTGAGCAGGTTTTTAATTTTAATTTTTTCAGTACATTTGTTTGTCCGACTGAAATAATTGCATTTTCTGAGAGAAGCGGCGACTTTACCAAAATTAACGTTCAATTATTGGCTTGTTCTACTGACTCTAAATTTAGGTTTTTTATTTTTATAATTTTTAATATTTAAATTTTAGCCATTTTGAATGGATTAATAAGCCACGTAAGGAGGGAGGACTTGGAGAAATGAAAATTCCTGTTCTTTCTGATCGAAATATGAAAATTGCTCGTGATTATGGAGTTCTTAAAGAGGATGAGGGGATTGCCTATCGGTTTTTTTAAAGTTTTGAAATTATAAAAATTTAATCTTTTTAGTGGATTGTTCATCATTGATCCAAAAGGAATTCTTCGCCAAATTACTATTAATGACCTTCCTGTTGGACGTTCTGTTGATGAGGTTATTTTTAGAAATTAAAAATATTTGGGTAGCGTTAAATTTTGATAGGTTTCCATTGATTAAAAATCAAAGTTTAATCAAACATTTTATTCTAAAAATCTATTCTTATACTTCATGAATTTTTACCAGATTTTCAGCGGTTAGGTTTTTTCTCATATTTTATCCAATTTTCTTGTTAAAATCATTGAAAAATTCATTATAAGAGTAGGATGGTTAATTTTATCCAAGAAATCCTTTTTAGTACTTTAACCCTTAAAAATAATTTAAATTCTATTTTTGATTAAATCCCTTAAAATTTCCAGACTCTTCGTCTCGTTCAAGCTTTTCAATATACTGACAAGCATGGAGAAGTTTGTCCAGCTAATTGGAAGCCAGGAAGTGATACTATCAAACCAGATCCTAACAAAAGTAAAGAATATTTTGGGAAACAATAAATTGAGTGAGGTTATTATTGGATAAAAGAATTTAAATAAAAAAAATAAAAAAGGGGAAAGAAAACAAATTATTCTTATTTTTTTAAAATTATATTTTGACAATTTCGCTTAATTGGTTGCAATGGATTTTTTAAATTAGAATTTTTGGATATTTTGCATTTTTCAAAAATATAAATGGTTAGAATATTTTGAATTGTTTTTTTGTGAGTTTTAAAAGGAGATTTGATGGAGGGCTTATTTTGTAGATATTACCTAATTTAATTTAAAAGGGAACATTAAACATTTGGAGCATTTAAATCCCAATATTTTACAAGGATTTCCAGGTACTTATCGACATAGATTTGACGAATAAACGGGACAAGAGCATTTATTTTTTGTTTCATAACCTCTTCAAAAATATTTTTTACGTAAAATCTCGTTATATAATTATTTAAATTGAGGGTCCTAAAATTATTGAAAAGAGAGTCCATTTGTTCATTATCTGATTGCTTATGCCATTTTCCTCCATCCCTAGGCTTCAATTAGTGCACAGATTACACTAAAATTACTTCAAGTTTTTAAATTTTTCCTCTCATTAATAACCTTTCAACAATCTTCAATTAACTTTTCTCTTTCTTTCAATGCCTCCATCCATCCCCTAATTGTTTGTTATTATTAGTCTTGACATTTATAAAATAAATAATTGCACAATACTCAACACAATTGTTAACAAAATTTCAATTTATTAAATTATTTATGCCCAGAAAAATTAAAAATTTATAATTTTAAAGGTTATAATTTCTTATCCTTTTTCGCTTAATTAATTAAAATGTCTGTATTTTAATAAATTATTACTTTTTATCATGGGACTTTTAGAATTAACCTTCCAAGAAATATTTAAATATTCGTACAATTAAACATCTGTCTCTAAAATAATAATTTTTATTAAATTTTTAATTTAAATATTCCCAAGAGATTTTTATTTTAAATAATTTATTTAAATATATATACTTTTGTTTTATTGGCCATTAAAATTTTTTTATTAGCACGTTAGAATTTTTTATTTTAATTTTTTGAATAAATCGTGTAAATAGGGTAATTATAAAATGGGAATAATTATTGTAAAATTATTATTTTTTAAATATTTGCTCTTTTAAATTTTATATAAACAAAATAATTATTTTTTTTGTTAAAAATGTTATAAAATAATTAGATGGTGGTCATCATTTAAGTAATTTATCTGTTTGTCAGGAAGGAATGTTATTTCCTCCGCTTCCTGCTTCTATGATTTAAAAATTGCGCTTATAAAATATTCACTTTTAGTACACTTTTTTAAGCACTTTAGTCCTTATACATTGTTATTTAAAATATTAAGGTGTAGAAAGTAATAATAAAGATTTAACGTTTCTCGCTTTCTTGGAGAATCTGAATCCCCGAAAATCATATTTTTTATATTACCTTTCTTTTTTATAAACAAATGTTGGTTATTGTAATTTAAAAATTTTATTTAACAATTTTGTTTTGGTAAAAATCCTTTGTTTCATATACTTACCTCAATTGTTTTAAAAAGATTAAGGAAGTAATTAAGATTAATTAAAAATATTATTTGGATTATTATTTAGCCAAAAGTAATACTTTATAAATTATTCGGTTTTTAAAATTTTATTGCTCATTTTTCGAAAAGATTACAAAATTTACTTTTAATTTAAAAATAAATTTTGAACAATGGACGAAACAACAGCAGTTGGGGGGTTGAAGGGAGATTATACTTTCTTCTCAACAAAAGGTATGGAATTTCGAATCGAATTTTAAAAGGGTGTATGATATTTTGTGACTTATTAGGCACATAAATATATTATTTGAGATTGATCCATTCTCGTTCCTGAAAGCCGGAGATATGATAATTTTCACCGTCCCTGTACATTAATTATTTTTCTACTTGTTATGTTTTGATGGTGAATTATTTTTTCACCTCTAAAATCTCGTTTACTTGGGAGCAGAGGTGGGTCGGAATTCCGATTTCCGACTTCCGATTTCCGATTTCCGACGTTTTTTTCCTTCCGATTTCCGATTTCCGAAATTTTGGAAAAATTTCCGATTTCCGAGAATTTTTGAAGCATATTTCCGACTAGAGATTTTTCCAAAATTCTCAAAATTTTCGCCTGCGGCGCAAAAAATGGAAGATTTTTGGCTTAAGGCTCCCAAAAATCCCAAAATTTTTGCCTGCGGCGCTGTAAATGGAAGTTGAATAGTATATCGGAGGATTAGGTTTGATTAATGTGGACTTTGAGTTATATCGTGTGATTACGAGGGGTCATAGGCTCTATCAGTCCTTAATTTTAAACTCCAAATATCCCTATTGATTCTATAAATTCTCTGATATCCCGTCTAATCTACCAAATCCCACAATATCTCTTTTAATCCCTTCGAATTTGACTTTTGAGTTGCAAAAAGAACTTTTACACCCTCAAATTACACTTAAGAAGGCCCATAATTTACCACCTTACAATTTTAAATAAATTTCAGTTATGAAAATAAAAATTTTATTTCCGATTTCCGCCTTCCGATTTCCGGCGTTTTTTTCCTTCCGATTTCCGATTTCCGAAAAAAATTTTGATTTCCGATTTCCGAGTTCCGACTTTTGAGCCATTTCCGATTTCCGACAGTTCCGATTTCCGACATCTCTGACTGTTCCGAACCACCTCTGCTTGGGAGGCAAGCCTCCATTTAGGAAATGCCTTGGTTATACGGTTGTAGCTATTTTAAGAACAATCCTTCTAAAGGCCTCTATTCTGAACCTGTCTCTGTTCTGGATTTTAGAAACATTCAGATTATATAAATAATTTTAGACCCAATCCGTACTGTCTACGCTTCATTGGACAGTTTTGTTCTTGTTGGTGGACTTTCAATGAATTCTTTATTAATTTACCTGATCCGAACAAAAACGGCAAAAGGAATGGAAATATACAAAAAATTGCTTTATATGAGTTGTTTTATGGATTTAATTGTTTCTTTTTGGACATTTATTGTTCAACCGGTAATTTACATATTACTTATTTTTGTAAACAGAATTCCAAACAATTCCAATTCATTGGACGTTTGAACGGGATCGCGTCCTATTCGGATCCTTAATATTAATATAAAATTGAAATAGGAGAATAAAACTGTTGGAAATTAATCGGAATAATATTTAAAAATATTTTTAATTAAATTAATATTAAATGCAGATTCCTTGTACCGATCGCGGTTATCGAACTATAATGATGAATGGAGTTTTCCGAAAGTCGTCACAACCAATTCGTTATGCTGTTTATCTTACTTGGATACAATTAATGGTGTTTTAAAAAGATTTTCTCGATAAAAAAATATTTTTTATTTAAAAAGCTTTTCTTCTTAATTACAACAATGTCCCAATATGTTTATCGTTTTTGTATTTTATGTAGAAATGGAGTTATTTCGGCGAAAATTGTTGGAAGTCTAATTTTTGTCCAAATTTTTCTGAACTCTTTTCATGCATTTTTGCTTGCCTGGGCTGACTATCCACGTCCTGGGGAAGCAATTAAAATGAGGGAAATAATGCATAAACTTGGTGAGGAGTCTGGCATTTCTGATGTTGAATTTATTTCTTTTGTTAATGCGGTAATGTTTTTTGAAGATTTTCTTTTTAAATGGAGAGAATATAGGGTTCTAGAGGATTTTTGGGTATTCAATAATTCACTTGCTACTCTCCCTGCTTTGTACTTGCAGGGAGAGTAGGTGTGACATTTGGTTTACTAAGTAGTATATACAGCAGACTATTGGTTTTAGCAATCCTTCTCGGGTTCCTTAATCTCCCCTAATAGCACTGATTTTCAGTATTAAGCTAAAAAAATATTTTCTAATTAAAGAGAGAATTTCGTTGGTTAATGCATATTGCAATTATGTGTGTTATGTTTCCTGGTTTTTACGTTGTAATTGGCATTTGTTTCTTTAAAATTCGAAAAGCAGTTCAAGGAATGAATGTTTTAAAATTAAAAGAATATAATAAACAAGTTTCGGCTGCTCTCCTTTTTCAAGTAATTTTTGAAAAAAAAATTGTTGGGAAAATTTTTGTTTAATTTAAAGGCATTACTTCCATCATTAGAAATTGGAGCTTGGTGTATTCAAATATTTGTTCCTATATTTGTAACCCAACAAAGTACTTATATTTACACAGTTTTTACTGACATTCCAATTCATCTAATTCCGGTATTAAATCCAATTGGGACTATTTTACTTGTTGCCCCATATCGGTAAGTTTATTTTTAATTAAATTGAATTAGAATTGACTAAACTTGAAGACAGTGGAGAGTTAAATAAATAGAACAGAAATTTTCTTTTTAAAGCCGTGCTGTGTTTCGCTATTTTGGAATTACAAAAGCCCATTCAACAATTATTCGTATACAAACAACAATTCAAACAAAACGCCGTCAAGGGACAGTTAGTATTCATCCTCAATCTAGAACTAGAACTTGATGAATTGAAAGAATTCCCTAAAAAATTTTTGTGACAAACAAACATTTGTATATAAAATATTATAATATTTCCAAAGATTAGTTGGAAAGCAATTTTATGTTAAATTTACAAATGATAATCTCTTTTAAAATTCATATCAAACACTAAACATCATACATGTATACATACATATATCTTTTTGTATTAATCTTTAGAAAGTTTATTTCTATGTTAGTTATTTGGGTTACGCATTTAATATTTAAAGATGTATATATTTTTCATCCAGCTCGATTTTTATTTAAAAAATTAGAATAAATAATTAATTTTATCTGCGAATAGTTAGTGCATATAATACTTCGGGGACGGTATTTTAAACGAAAGGTAAGGGTTAACCATCATCGAGTTCTGGGTTTTTTTGGAATAGGGTTAACCCTCAACTCGTTGTTCTATCATCCGAGTAAGAGAACCTGGGATAAATTACCAGGTTCTCCTACGCTCTTTTTAGAATACCGGCCGGAGGTTTACATAATTTACAAATCCACACTTTTTTTTAAATAAATTTATACATTTCTAAAACTAAAAAAACCTTTGTTTACTTCAAAATAAAAAATTACATAGGAAATTTAAAAAAAATAAATTTAAATTAAATATCTCCAAAAAATCCCAAATGTTTTTCTTTAAATTATAAAAAATCCAAAAATCTTCCTAAAATCTTCTCCTTCCAAAAAATCATTTCCAAATAAATTTCTTTTTATACAGCGATAAATTCTTTAAATTTTTTCTTATTTAAATAAGAAGCTCCAATTTTAATTTTTCCCTCTTCCCCATTTTTGTCAATATATTTTTTAAAATCATTTTCTTTTAATGATTTAATTTTATTTTTTAATTCTTCTATATTTTCTTTAATTTCTTCTTCTTTTAAAATTTTAAATCCAATAATCCAACCAGTACATTTCCAATCCTTTAATTAAAATTATTTAAATAAAATTTCTTTTAATTAAAAAACCTCTTCTTTAATTCCCGTTGCTTTTGGACAATTTTCTCTTTTGAATAAAGCTTTTGGGTTTATATGAAAATATTCAATAAATTTTAATGTTTCAAATTTTTTTATCAAAAGGAATGTTAAATGACTTTCAATTACATCACAAAGTGAAGGACCTCCCAAACTGTCTGGAGAATAGGCACAAATAACAAGTAAATAATGCTGATACTAAAAAGTATAAATTTAGAAAAATAATTTTTTGAATTTAATTTTTTAAATTTTACTAATTAAAGTGAAAGATTAGCTATCGAGCAAGCTACTGATTGAAGTAGAACTTCCCATCCCTCCCCAGCGCCTAAACTCCTAGGGAGCAGGCCAACTTACCGCTCGCCCAACTTACCGCAGAGCTATATCTTCGTTCAGAATTGTCGAAACCGAGACGACCTGGTATGGTTTGATTCAGCTCGTCGAGGCGCATCGAATCATACCAAGGCGTCCCGGATTCGGCCACTCTGAACGAAGTTATAGCTCTGCGGTAAGTTGGGCTCGCGGTAAGTTGGGGTGTACCCAAACTCCTATACTTTTTAAATGCTAGCCTGTTTATGTAAAACATATTTGAGTAATTTTAAGTTTTTATTTGGCTAATAATTATAGAATTATCACATCTCTACAAGAAAGGGGCATTAATATAAAGAAAGAGCATAAAAATTATTTTCTTAAATTTTTATAGCCTGTTTGGGGAATTATTCTAAATTTTATAAAAAATATATTTATTTAACCAACCATTTCTACAAAATTTTCTCCCTTTATCCATTCACTCAATTTTTCTTTAATTTTATTTTCATTTTCCAACTTTTCAATTTCATTTAATTGTTCAATTGCTAAAAATTAATTAAATTTAAATATTTAAATTTATTCTCTAACCAATTTCCATTTTTTCTTTAATTATAATTTGTGTATAATAATTAATTTTATAAGCAACATTTTGTGGTGGATATCCTAAATTAATTATTCCCCAAATAATTTCTATTTTATTTGAAGACAATAAACTAGCAAAACCATTATTCTCCAATTCAAATTTCCTTCTTTTTATATCTAAATCTAAATTCAAATCTTCAACATTTTTTTCTATTTTTATAATAAATGGCATCTCTTTTTGTCTTGAATTTTTAATTTTATAAAAAATATTTTTAGAAACATTATATTAGGGGGGGGGGGATAAACAATAAATTTTTATTGAATTCAAGTTACTTGACCTGTTTCATTTGATCGACGACCTTAACTAAACTTGAAATTGTGGAAAATGTGTATATTCCGGTCCTGCTGGACACAATAATTTCTAATGATTAGAGTCACATTAATCCTATCAAATTCCAGCCCTATTCTTGAGGTTCGACTTAATTAAAAATTTCAGAAACAAAACAATACATATTTTCAATTAATTCACTAAACATTTTCTCAATTAAAATTATAATTAAATTTTCCTTTTTATTTTCCTTAATTGTTTTATAAATCAAAATTTCAATTATTTTTTCATTTAAAAAACCAAATATTTCTCTAAAAATTGAATTATCTAAAAATATAAATCTTTTAATTAAATATCTATTTATTTTTACTTTTTGCCCAAAGACTAACAACTTTAAATATTTTCCAAAATTTTCCTTCAAATTGCTTTAAATTGACAAACATTTGCAAATTTGAACGATATTCTTAATTTAAAAATAAATATTGAAAAGAATAAAAAATATTTTCCTCAGAGAAGTTCGGTAGCAAAATACTTCACGTTATACACAGTATTGCCCTAAACATATATTTTTCCTTTTTTTACAGAAAAATCATGTTATTCGAAAATTATCATCGAGATGTTTAAAGAAAATAAAAGATCTCATAAGGTCAAGCTGAATCGAATGAGCATTCTCGATAATTTGAGTTAAATGCGGCCATTCTATCACATGGAGATAACTGAACGTATCCTTTAACAAATATTTTTAACATCCGCCGCAGCTTAATAAGTTACTTCTCCTCTGAGAAAAGTGACTAGATTCAACTTTCCAGTTACTAAGTAATCTATAGTAAATTAGCGAATACTTTGAGTTTTTTTAAAAAATACCTGAAAGGGCAAACACTTCCCCCTTTTTATTTTCTTCATAATTTTTAAATAAATTATCCTTTCCAATTTTAACAATAAATTCATTTATTGCTATATCAATAAATTCTATACTTTTTAAATCTATTTCCCTTTCTTTTACTTTAACTATTTTATCAAAAATTTTTTGTGGTACAGAAATTAAATGCAAATTGAAATAAAAATTTTTAAAATTAATTTTCAAAATAGGGCCACGATAATCAATTTTTCGAATAAATTGAATTTCTTTGCTCTAAAATATTAATTAAATATTAATTATTTAAATTTTCTGAAAATTTAGAAACACACCTTTTAGTGAATGACTAACAAGATGTGAATCGATTTTTGGCTGATTTTTTATTTAAAAAATTTTTAGACCAAAATTTGCATTTTCGGCCTCCACAAAATTATAAGTCCACTTTACAAAAAAGATATTTCCAAGATTAGGAAAAATCTACAAAAATATTAGCAAACAGACATAATGATATTATGAAAAAATAAAAAAGAAATAGACCCATATCTTTACCCGGAGTCGAGATCCTGAGACCCCGAAAATCAACGTAAATCGGGGGTAAGGCTCTTTAAAAAAATTTTTCGACCCCTTATGGATTGTTTTGAATTTTGATATTGGGCTCATTCGAAAGCCCTTGAAATTTGCTACAAGATTATTATAATTTTATTTTTCAGAAAAAATTTTACTGAGATTCACAGTCAGTTAAACTTTCGAATCCACATAAAGGGCATTTTATGGGGTATTTTGCTGCATCAGAAAATTAATGGCCTGTATCTTTCTAATGGATTTTTCTATAAAACTTGTTTAATGCTATCTTGTAGCAAATTTCAAGGGCTTTCGAATGAGCCCAATATCAAAATTCAAAACAATCCATAAGGGGTCGAAAATTTTTTTAAAGAGCCTTACCCCCGTTTTACGTTGATTTTCGGGGTCTCAGGATCTCGACTCCGGGTAAAGATATGGGTCTATTTCTTTTTTATTTTTTCATAATATCATTATGTCTGTTTGCTAATATTTTTGTAGATTTTTCCTAATCTTGGAAATATCTTTTTTGTAAAGTGGACTTATAATTTTGTGGAGGCCGAAAATGCAAATTTTGGTCTAAAAATTTTTTAAATAAAAAATCAGCCAAAAATCGATTCACATCTTGTTAGTCATTCACTAAAAGGTGTGTTTCTAAATTTTCAGAAAATTTGGATCACTGGAAGTCAAAAAATCCCGAAAAAACGGGTGGACTTATAATTATGTGGAGCAGTGTATGTACGTTTGATTAAAGTTGTTTATTCCTATTTTCCTACCTATTTTTCTTTTCGTCCATTTTGACCCATTTTAGGGAATTTTTTTCTCAAAATCGGGGCCATATTGACAGAAAGGTAAATAGTGAGGGTTATAAAATAATTTTAACTTAAATATTACATTTACCTTACAAAATACACAAAACAAAGAATTATCATTTCTACACAATTCTTCACTAAATTTAAATATACATTTTGGAATATTTCCAAAAAATCCCTTTTTATCTGAATCCATTGTTAAAATAATTGTTTCAATTATTTCTTCATTTTTATCAAAAAATTGTTTAGTATTTGTTGAAATTAAATATATTTTCTATTAAAAATAATTTTAAAAAATTCTAATAAATTAATTATTTTACAAACTTTTTTATTGTTTTCTTTAACCCATTTATCTATAAAATTCTCTTTTAATAACTCCAATATTCCCTCAATATTTTCAACATTTTCATTTGGGGTTTCTTCAATAATTGTATCAAGCTAAATAAATTTTTAAAGTAAACCTTTTGGGATTTTTGAAAACGGGAAAATATTGGTCAAGCTATGGTCTTAAAACACCCTAAACGGGAGGGGGGACAAAAATTTCGTTCGTTGACTATTTAACTTGGTTTAGGATAGTAAATTCTTAACAATTCCTTGTACATCATTAGGAATAAAGTAAAAATCTAAAAGTGAATTTGAATTTAAAGTTTAATGTGACTTTGTTACTTCAAAAACATTTGGGTGAGGGGCAACTCAAGGAATTCCTTGTCGTTCCTACATATATTTGTCTATTCCTTGAGTTAGCCCGACACGAAAACATTTAAATACCAAATTCGAAAATTTTTCCTTCCTTTCATTTATTATTGGATCTTCTACTTTATTTACAATTTCTTTTTCATCTTTTTTAATTTCTTCAATTTTAATTTGTTTTTTCTTCTCAATTTTTTTGAATTCTTCCTCTTTTTCATATTTTTCTAATTCTTCTTTAATTTCTTTTAAAAAAATATTTTCTTCTTCTTCAATTATTAATTTATTTTCTTCCTTCCCCTTTATTTTATTTTTTAAATTTTTAATTAATTCCATTATTTTTGTATAATTAATTAATTCTATTAAATTATTTCTTTCCTTTTTATTTGATAAAGCTTAAAAATTAAAAAAATTATTTTCAGAATTTTTTAATAAAATCTTTAGATGTTCCCTCGGGAGAGGTGTATCTTAAATTTTTTGGTAGTTCAGTAATAATATAGCTCTTACAAAAGTGCAATCGAAAACCTATCAAGTTTTTCAGAAGATAGCACAGACTTTTGCTAAAATTTTTACCTTTAATAACAACTTTATAAAATTCTTCTTTTCTCTCCAAATTCCCTACTTCTTTTTCTTCTGTTTCCCAATTAATTTCGTGTTTCAAAACCTTTTTCTTTTCTTCATTTAAAAATTCTTCAAATTCTTCTTCCTCCTCTTTTTTAACTTTAACAATCCCATTTTCTACTACTATATCTTTCCATTCTTTTTCCCAATTTTTCTTTTTAAAATTTTTTTCTTTTAAATTCTTCCAAATCCAAATTTGTCTTTTAATCATTAAATTTCCTTCTTTTTCCAATTTATTTTTATCATTTAATTCAAATAATTCATCATATTTACTATAAAAATATCCCCTTCTAAATAACCACATTTTATTTAAATATTTAATTTCCTCAAATTGTTTTTCTACCCAAAATACCCAAACCAAAAAATTTAAATAAAATTTATTTGCTAATTTATTTTCATTGTTTTCTTTGATATATGCCATAAAATGATATTTAAATCTGCTAAAATCTGTTAAGGAAATAATATGTATATTTTTTATTATTAAAAATTAATTTTATAGTCAAGAATTTTAAAAAGAAAATTTCAGGTAAAAAAGAATATGTACAGCCTATCTATAATTTAGATACCCTTTAGGGTTGAAAAAATCTATTTAAATATTAAGTGTTTATAAAATATATTTCCTTATAGTATATTCTTTAATAAAAAGTTCTTTGTCTAAAATTTAAGTGTATCTTAAATTTGAGTCCTAAAATTATAAGTAGCATCTAGCATTTCTTTACCCCAGTGGCCCCCAAATTAAAAAAACATGGCATAAAATACTTAATCTTAGGGGTTTTTTCGAAATTAAATTTAGAGATTACACTATAGAAAATAAACATTTCTTATAAAAAACCTCCTCCTTTTCCTTCTCCATCGAACGTTTTTAACACAAAGCTAAACATTTTTAGTTGAGGAATTAATTGTTGGAATCTAGTTTTTATTCCAGGATTTTCACAAATTTTTGACAATTTATTTTTCCATTCTTTTTCAACAAATTTTGCATGTTCTCTAGTTAAATAGGCTCTTTGCTCAATTAATGCCAATTTTTGTTCTTTTTCATTTTCACATTCAAATCCCTTCCATTTTAAAATTTCTTTTAAATTTTTTGTATTTTTAAACAATTCTTCTCTTAATTGAATTTGGTATAATTCTAAAAATTCATCCATCAAATAAATTACATTTTCGTAAATTGTAGGAATAGAAAAAAGTTGAAATTGAATAATTAAACAAATATTTTTTAAAGAAATAATTTCTTCTTTTTCCAAAAATATTTTTGTTAACAGCCATTTTAACTTTTTTTCTAATTCTTCCAATAAAAGAAGTTGTTCTGGCTTGAGAATATTCTCATTTTTAATTTCATTAATTAACTTCCACGTCCCTTTTAATTTTTTAATAAGTAAAGAAATTGCAATTCTTATCTCAATTTTTTTTGAATTTTCATCTCCAATTTTATATTGAAGGTATTTTTCATAAAACATAATTTTCATTGATGAATGCATTACACCTTTAATTAAATTATTTTTAAAAATAATTTATTTTGATAATTATTTAGAAAGGTTTGTCATCATCAGAAAATAAAGTGTCACGTTAATTTAGACAATAGTACTAGTCTTGTTACTAATAAATTACTCGAGTTTTACTCTAAAGTGGACAACATAGCGGAGGAGCTTTGAAAATCAACATAGAAAGGATAAAAGTTTTGAATAAATTTTTGATTATTCCAGATTTTTATTTTTCATTAATTTGGAAGTCTTAGCTTTAATTTTGGTATTAATTATTTACAATTTATTACCAATTTTAAATAAATCTGAAAATTCTCTTTCCAATTTATCCAAATACTCCAATCCAACAATTTCAATTAAATTTGTTTTTAAATTAATAATTTCTTTTTTCTCCTCTTTTTTACAAAGAAATATTCTAAACATTTTTGAGTTAATAATTAATTTAATAATTAAATAATATATTTTTTGAATATTAACCTTAAATAAATATTTTATTTTTTTAAATTAATTTTTAAAAACCTCAAAATTTGTTTTAATTAATTCTTCAATCCATTCAGGTATTTTAATTAATTTATTTTCCAAAATTTTATATAATTTATTTATTTTTTCCTTTTTATCTTCAATATTCTCAATTTTATTTTCTGAACTTTCCTCAATTTGATTATTTAAATATAAATATATTATATCCAAATAAATTATTTCAAAGCCCTCCCTGTCATATTTTTCTAATAACGGTTTAATTAATTCAAAATATTCATTAAATTCTTTTTCTTCTTTGTTTGTATCTGGTAAAATTAAAAAATTAAAAATTAAAAAATTTTTAGATTAAATTAAATTTACTTTCTTCATTTTCAATAATATCTTCACAAATATAGTAAATTATCTAAAAAATAAATAAAAATTAATTTAAAAAGTATTTTTATTTTACATTTGTATAATTTACTTTTTCTTCTCCAATTAAATTATTCATTCTTTTCTTTTCATGTGGCCTCAAATCTAAAATTTTATTTTATCAAATTTTGTTGATTAAAAAAATTTAAATATTTACATATTTAAATAAAAATTACATACTTTCCTCCCCAATTTCTAATTTTTGTTTTTATTCACAATTAACTTTCCACTATTAAATAAGTATACAAACTCTAATTTAAACCTGAGACTTCTCATTATAAAATGAAAAAGGCGGATACTGGGTGCCCGCAATTTTGAAATGTTCGAACTCTATTTAAATACCTACAAACCTTCAATATTCTCTTTAAATATTTCATCTTCTTCCATTAATTTTTTAATCATTTTTGAATGTTCTTTTTTAAAAAATTTATTTAAATTTTCTTCATTTATAATTTCTTTTGCCAATTCTTCCAAACTTTTATCTTCTAAATTTCTTTTCATTTCCTCTTTTGTATAATTTTTATTAATAAATTTACTAAATTTATTAATTATATTTAAATATAAATTTCCATATTTTTCCAAATTTTTATTATTTATTTCTTCAATTTCTTCCAAAAAGAAAAGAATTCTTTTTCTAGATCCTAACCATAAATTTTCATTAAAATGATTATCAAAAATTAAAACAGAAACTAAAACATTTGCTGTATATTTTGATTTTTTATAATTATAATTATTTTCATTAATTGATGTAAATATTTCTAAATAACTCTTTTTTAACCAATTAACCAATTTTGATTCATTTATTTCTAAATTAATAAATTATTTAATAAAATCTAAAGTTCTTCAATTAAAAAATAAAAATCCCCAATCTGATCACCTCAAATCATAAATTAACCTACCAACGAGTAAAATATTTTTTAGAGTAGTTTCTAATTCAAGATTATGTCCTAGATGTTCATTATTTCGAACATTATTTAAAGCATCAGTAACCAAATAATTTGCTCGCCATAATGCACCCGGCGTTTCATAAAAAAATTGTTTTAAATCTTTAAAATTTTCATTTTCATTCATTTCTTTCATATCTTGACATAATTTTCTGGAAATTTTCAGACAAATATCGTCATATTTTTTTGTATCTTGATTTTTTAAAATTTCTAAAGATTCTTCTAGCGTTTTATTTTCGTCAGTGTAATGTTCCCATATATAATTAATTTCTTTAAAAATTTTTTTTTCATCGTTAAATTCAGCCCTATAAGCATTCAAAAATTTACTAAAATATATACAAATCATTAGATTAGATTTGCTTTGTAAAAATTCTTTGGAATTTAATTGAGACGAAAGTAATTTTTTATAACGATTAATTCTTTCAGAATCCTCAACAAGATCTGAATTTTTAATTAATTAAAAAATATTTGGAATTGTTGAAAATAAATTTCTATTTTTAGGACGTAATGGTGAGATTACTTCAAAGTCTCATCACGTCTTGCGACAGTAAATAACTTTAAAAAAGGAGAATACGAGACTTTTCTCCTCTTTTTCCATTAATTTTCTGTCGAAGGCACGTCTAGCAAAACAAAAATCGGGGAGAAAATTGGTGATATAACTAATCTCTGTGTATTTAGTTTCTACATTATAACTTTTTCCAGAAACTAACCAGGTCTAAATAACAGAGGATATTTTAATTCTAATTCACTAAACATAAATTCTCCAAATATTTCCCTCATTCTTTTTTTAATTCTTAGAAATTCTTCTTTTGATATTATTTCAAATTTTGGTGTTTGTAAGTTTTCTAATTTTGAAACAATTTTTCCTTTCTTTTTATTTTTTATAATTATTTCTAACCTTAAATATTTTTTTTTAAATTTTAAAATTAAAAAAAAATATAAAGTACTTTTCAGTTAATTCTCTCTCAATATTTAATTTTTTAGCAATTTCTTCCAATTTTTCACCAATTTTTTCTTCTTCCAAATTTTCTTCTTCTTCAATTTCTTCTCTATATTTTTTAAATTTTTCTTCAACAATTTCTAACCTTTTCTTTTCTATTACATCAATATCTATTATAAACAAATTTTCCATTTCTTTTGCAGTTAATTCCCCAAAAAATAATTCAAATATTTGTTTATATTCCATTAAATTTAAAGCTATTTTCCAATTTTTTATTTCAAAATTAATTAAAAATTTTCTTTCAAAATTTCCAAATTCTTCTATTTTTTTCTCTATTTTCTCAAAATATTCCTTTTTCCCCTCCAATTCTGCCCATTCATTTTTTTCTCTTTCAACTGGATTTTCAAATTTATTTTCTTTAAATTTAAAGTTTTCAATTAATTTCTTTTTTTCTTTTAAAGATTTTTTTATTTCTCTAATATTTTCTTTAATATTTTCACAAAAAATAATTAAATTTAATTTCTGCTTAATTTTCCAATTTTCGTGAAAAATTAATTGAATATAAAGATTCTCAATTTCTTCATCTCCAATATTGCAAATATCTAAATATATATTTCTTAGAGATATTGTGGATACTTCTTCGATTTCTTTCGGTCTTGGGGTGAAGTATTGGTAAATTAATCATACAAATGCGAAACCAAAACTGTGACTTTCTAGCTCAAACCGGGTTTCACTTTACTCCCCGCCCCAAACTGGAAAGAAAACATTCTGCTACAAAGAATATTTTCCTGTTATCAAGTTTTTGTTGCAACAATCCTAATTCTATTTTTTTTCTCGATTTTCGGTAATCGTGACGGCAGGATTGCTGGTCTATATGATATCCACATATTTTCTTTGTGTCAATTACAATAATTAAAATAACTTACTAAATTTATTTGAATCAATTTTAGACTTTTCGGCTTTTAAACTCTTTGGTGGACAAATACAAGATTTTATGAGGATTAAAATAAAAATAAGAAGAAATAATTTTACTTTCATTTAAATTTTTAATTTAAATAAATTTAAATAATCTAGTAATTAGAAATTATAATTTTTTAAATTAATTTAATTATTATTTAGAAATATAAAAAATCCAAAGGCGATTAAAAAATTGAACTCACAGCCCGAGAATCGAACCTAACCACTAGCTAACTGTGAACTTTTAATTTGAGTTAATAAACTGAAATATTTTTTAAAAGATTTTAAAATTAGTCTTCATAAATTTAAATTAATTGATTTATGTAGCTATAATAAAATAAATAAATAGTAAGGGCATATAGAGGGGGTATTTAAATCCATTAGGGATAAAGGACATATGAAGAAAGAGAATGCACTTTTTAGACTAAATTGGTTAGTGAATTGGGGAGTTATTGCTAAGAAAAGAAAGAGGTGGGACTTTAAAAATAATTAAAAAATAAACATGTGAACGTCGGCAATTGTGAAAATAAAAAAGAAATAAATAATAAACATGTGAATGCCCTTTTTTAAATATTTTTATTAGGAAATCAAAGACAAAATCCGACAAAATTAATAAAGGTACTTTTCCGTTCTGCCACACCCCCCTAAATTAATGTTCAAAATGTCATATATGGGGTAAAAAAAGGTACTGAGTCGAACAGTACCACTCTTTTCCCCCGGAGATGCCTTTGGACCAAAATTTTTTGCTCGAAATGGTCAAAAACCATAGGGGGGAGTAAGCTCAATTTTGGGATAAAAAATTCGAATATGCAAATAATACCTCATTCGAAAGAGCTCGTCGAGCTGAGTCGAATGACACCAAAAACAACGAAATCTGATTTGATTTGACCGAGATACAGGTCTCTGAAAATTGAAGAACCACACAAATTTTTGCATCGTAACTTGGTCCAAACTTGTTAGACCGCGGTGATTCTGGTGTCTTTCGACTCAGCTCCATGAGCTTTTTCGAATGAGGTATTATTTGCATATTCGAATTTTTTATCCCAAAATTGAGCTTACTCCTCCGTATGGTTTTTGACCATTTCGAGCACAATATTTTGGTCCAAAGCCATTTTCGGGGAAAAAGAGTGGTACCGTTGGACTCCGCATCTTTCTTTACCCCATATATGACATTTTGAACATTAATTTAGGGGGGTGTGGCAGAACGGAAAAGTACCTTAATAAATAATAATTTAATTTTATTTAGAAATGTGCGCAACAAAAAGAATATTTATTTAAAAATTTATTTAAAAATATAAAAATATTTTTTTACTTATGTTTCTTTAAAATTATATAAACATCACGGTTTTCTACTTGATTGAATTTTAATTAAAACGGGATTTTAATAGTGATATGGCATTTAAATAAAATATTAAAGTAAGGATATTTGGATATCCTTCCTCGTCGTTGGAAAGTTGTTAGTAAAAAGATTTTGGGGATATCGGGGATACATTTGGATTACAGAAGAATTTGGAGGGAACGATGTTATTGAATTGACTGGAAGGGTATTTATTTATTTCACATTAAAAATGTAGCATATCAGGAGAATTGAGGGTATATCAATTAATTTAAAGGGATTAAAGTAATATAACGGAATTTGGATGGATCAAATGGTATCTGGACGGCTTTTTATCCGAGGCTGCTCGATGATTTATATCAAGGAATATAATGAGAGCTTATAAACTTAGTTGTAGTAAAGCTAGTGCTGGGCCAGGATGGTATTGGGATGTTGGGCGGGTTGCGTGCGATGTTAAGGGTCCCGAGAGGCGATGCCGATGAGTATATTGCGGAGCGGAGGGTAGGCCTTTCTATGCGCCGGTGCTGCTGGTCGATTACGAGATCGACTTGCCCGGGAATAATATGCGCTGAATGATAAGCTCTAGGCTTCTTCTGCAGGATTAATGAATAAGCTCTCAGCTTCTTCGGCCGGTTATTCACTTTTCTATTGATCACTTTCCAACTGACTGGTGAACAGTCGACTGATCCGCTTTTCACTATTTTCCACTTAGTTTTATCCTAAGGCCTTATTTGTCATTCTCCTCCCCTTATTCAATCCTTTCCCACAGGAACTAAAGTTCCTTTCTCCATCCTTGCCCATCCGGATCAAAGTACGTCTTACACCTCCAACCCCGGGGAAGACCGTCCCCTGGTCTTTTCTTAATTTCCCAATTTTAATTTTATTTTTCATTTTATTTTTATTTTCAAACCCACCACAATTTACAGCTTTACCATGTGCCCCAAGCCTGTGCCTCCATTTTCTATCTTCTTCTTTTCTCATCTTCTTCTACAGTCTCTTGCCAAGTGTCCGGAATTTCCACATCTGTTGCAAATAATTTGTCCTCTTCCTGTTCGTAATTCACCGCCACGTATTAGCTTAACTTCTTCAACTTTAACTTCAATTGCCCTTCCTTTTAAATCATTGAGTATTCCATTCGAGCCGCGTGTTGGTTCTTCATTTTCCATAACCTCCAAATAGCGTTCGTCAACAAAGGGAGTGTGTTGTTTTGCCGCAGTGATGAATCTTCTCCACGTTTCGCCTTCTCGTATGGATTCAAAATCGGCAATAATGATTAATCCGCTTTGTGCCCTGGACAACGCTACGGTGGCGCGTCTGCTATCCTTCAAAAAGTCAGAGGCATCTGCGCGAGCTGCTGATCCAGGCGATTTAGTGCTTGTTGTCACAAGAATGATTAAACGGTGCTCGCGGCTTTGAAACGCATCTACAGAGTTCACAGATACCTGTAGATTTTCTTGGTAGAGTCTTTCTCTTATCTTTTCGCATTGGTACGTGTATAGACATATAATGGCAACACCTTGAGAATCTCGGTGCTCCAGTGCTTTTGCAATCATAATAGCTGCCTCAGTCTGTTCAGGTGAAGAAAGTGAGTAGGATGCGCTGTCCTGCTCTATTGTGCCTCTTATATTCAAAAGTATGAGTGGAACGTTATTCACCGGAAGATTTATTCCAAGCTTTGTCAATCCTGTGCGCTTTGATGCGGGAACTGCAGCGATTACTCGTTCGTCGTGTTTTTCATACGAGGAATAGTTGAAGCATTCAGTTATAATGGGATGCGAGCGGTAACATCGTTCCAAAATGGTGACTGATACTCTTTCGCAATTTTCCATTTGATCAGTCACGCTTTCAAGACCGTAACCGCTTTGAATTACTTCTGGTAGTTCTTTCAAATGCGTGCCCAATTGACGGACGTCCCCCGTCAAGAGAACAGACCGGACAAGTGGTAATTTGCAAAGGAGGTGAACCATCATGGAGAAGCTTGTCTGAGTAACCTCGTCGATTATGAGGTGTGTAGTCGATACATGAGCGCGTGGTATTCCTAAACACATGTAGATTGTTCCGAAGATCGCATTTTTAAATTCTCTAGCCAAATAAATTTCTCCCACTTTCCTTT